GCATCGCGATCGTTTCGTTTAAAAAGCTCGAATTAACACATACACACGCGTGGCCGTCATTGTCGGTTCCCCCCCGTGGCACCGGGTTACATATACACCAGCGGCCGAAACGAAAGAGAAAGAGAGAGAGAGAGAGAGAGAGAGATACACTGCTATAGCCGAGCGTAATAACAATCGATCGAAACAAAAGAGAAAGGGGTAGTACAGTAGACTGGGTAGGTATAGCTGCAAAAGTCCGTACTCTTGTACTTGGTGTGTGCGGAGGGTCTAGGACAGAATAGAGCCTTCGCCCTCGCATCGCACACACACGCGCAGATATAACGAGTATGTGCGCGCGTGATTGTAGCATTGGCGCGTATTTACTCATCCTGTTACCGCTGCGAGCTTACGTCGTCGTCGATGTGTGCGTGTGCAAGCTCGATCGAGGCAGACGTGTGTCTGTGTCTGTGTGTTGATATAATACAATAGCGTAGCGTAGCGAGCAATATCAAAAGCGATTATCGAATTAGCCAAGTAGTAGAGTTGCCGTTGCCGGTGGCGGCTCGATTATATACATATGAAACGACCGTGAAGCTTTCGCGATTATTTCGACAGCTCGACGAACGAGGCTCGTGTATATATCTACGTTGGCGAGGCGGAGAGGCCGTACTACTTACAACCAGTGGTGTGTCTACCGCTATCTATCTATCCACTGCCACACACAGGCCACGCGAGGCAATGAGAGATAGGCGGCGTACGTATATAAGTTACGTGATTCGACGACGACGACTACGAGGCAAGGTGAATGTGAAGGTGACAATTGCAGGCAGACACGTATACACACACGCAAACACACACACACACACACACACAATGCCGTTGCACCTCTACCGGAGCTATGTATAATACTGAATTTCAATGAAAATATGCCGTCGCTTACTTACCACTACTATATACGACTCGATTCTCGATTCGAGGGTTACATAGCCACACTGCAGTTCGCAAGTTTCCTATCTGCGATGTGCCAATTTTCCTTTTAACTCGGTCTCTGCCTCTGCAGAGCGAAGAGTCACCGAGGCATGTATAGATATAGGTGCAGAGAGAAAGAGAGCGATGGACGAGAGTAGAGAACAGACAGCCCGAAGTTTCCAGAGCAGAAGCGACAAACTGTGCCAAATATTCTTACAGCGACGCGAGCAAAGTTTACAAAATACCTGACACTTTTATGATGTTGTCCTCTCCTCCAGCAGATAGGACGTAGCGGACGCCAGAAAGTCTCCAGAAAGGCAGTAATGACTTTAAATGCTCATTACGTAGGTAGACAGTTTATATAAGATATCTGTATAGGGTCCGCTGGGGACACGACGACGATGGAGGGAAATTAACACGTTCAACTTACCCGTCCAGCTGTGTGCATACATATACATATTCTCGATGAACTAGTTTGCACGTTATATCATGCGTAAATTAACGCGACTCGATCAAGGGAGAGTCCGAATATTCTCTTCTTCGCACGGTAAGTACAGTGACGACTTATTTTCAGCCTCTCGTGTCTCTCCGATCGTCAAACGATATATATATCTCTTAATAAAGTCCTGCGTTGATGGCTCTTTTATTATCATACGAAAATCTCTCTATAAAAGCTCGGCCGACACAAAGAGTCATCCCTACGAACCCGATGAACAAACTTTTCCCATTAGTCAATGCGAGGTTGCCTATATACGTACCTACCCCGCGTGTGTGCGATCGTTCAGTCAAAAGTTACGATTTTTCCCCGAGAGTTTTATGCCATGTGCGTGAGCGCGACTAGGTCGATTGATTTTTTTTTACTTTTATTTTGCGTTACAGCCTTTCTCTCTTTCTTTTCTTTTTTTTTGCTTTTTTTTTATTCTACCAATGACGTGCGCATGGAAATCAATCATGCGTGTGCTGCGAGTTTATAGGTGTACGGATGCATTGTTATGCCGTGTTATCTCTCTGTAACGAGAGATATATACTTGTGTGTGTAGGCCAGCTGTCAAAGGAAATGTCACCTACATCGCTTGCAAGAGAGAGAGCTCGTAATCATATGGACACAAAATTGATATATTTTGAGTTAACTATATGAGCTAGTAATTGAAAATCACGCGTCTGTATTATTTGTTGATGCAACTCGAAGAATTTAGCTGGATTTTCAGCCGAGCGAATGAAACAATGAGAATCGCGCCCCTTTGATCCTGGTTTAATTGCATTTTTTACATCGTACAGATTCAGCGTGCAAAAAAAGTTCTTTATCGATCTCGAAAGAACTTCGAAATAATTTAATCGTCTCGACTTTTTTTTCGACTCTCTTCATCCTCTCAAGATATATAATTAAAGTTCATAAATCATTTCTACGATTAAGTCGCGCGAAATAATACCGAGATACACTGCAAAACCAATTGTTTGGAAACATTAGAAACTACAAAAAAAAAAAAAATTAATCACCGAATCATAACGCTGAAAAGCATTTATTTAGTAAATGGCTTTCAGGAGCTTTAACGATCTGTGCGCGCAGGACACGACGACGTTGATCGAGGGGGACGGACACACAAAAGAAGGGAAAAAACAGAGAGAAACAGCTCCCGAGTCCGCGTGTCACGTTTTTTTCCCCCCAACCTTCTCGGGATATATTCGATTCGGTCTTGCGTGACGGACGAAAAAACAACAACAGCGGTGTATATTATACGGTTCTCTCTTCTTGGCTCTCTCTCTCTCTCTCTCTGTAACGCGATATTATTGTATATAGATAGATAGATACGTAGCGCGAGGGCATTTATACGCACGGCAGAGTCGATAACACAGTTGGACGTCGATAATAAATCGTTCTCTTTTTTTCTCGCCACGGCCACTTTGATTTCCAAGTTTTATATGTATCGAAACTCGTGCGCACGCAATTAAATTTTTTTCTTTTTTTGTACGTATCGAAAGAATACGCGTTCACCGAACGATGCAAAAATGTTGTCGCACGCACACGGGCGCGCGCGCGACCTACTTCTCTGCCTCTGCTACTGTGTCGTGTATCATTGTGCGCGGGGTAGGTAGTAGGTAGGTATATAGAATCGACACGAAAACTTGGATAATACCGCGTATTCTCTCTCTCTTCCTCTTTTAATTCGAAACAAAAGAAGCGAAGAATTCGAACCGTATACAGCGCAAGAATATTTGGCAGCTCCGCGGGAAAATACTTCGGAGCTGCTCCTCGAGAGAGAACGAATTAATTCTGCCGAGTTTCGAGAGATCCGAGTGAGAGAAAGAGAAATATATATATTGAAAGAGCGTCGAATCGTAGCTGATAAAATTTCTATCGATGCTTGGCTTGCTTGCTTGCTTGCGCGCACCTCCCCCGGTTCGAGAGTGCCGCGAGTCGTCGCGAGGCAGCAGCAGAGAGAGACTCTATAATAAAGTTATATATACGGTGGCGCGCGGGCGCGAATTCCAAGGCTTCTTACTGGCTCTTTTATGCAAATAAGGTCACATTATATACGCGCGAGCAGAAAGAGAAAGAGAGAGAGAGAGAGACGTCATGTATTAATTTGATTGAAAGTTCGCGCGCGCTGGTGAGTTGGCGCAAAGTGGCCATGCAGCAAAAGTTCGTTTTTCTTCCTCTTCTTCTTCATCCCTCTCTTGGCGGCGGCGGTGGACAACCGGTGTATATAAACGATGATAATATTTTTCCTCCACTTACTATCTCGTCCGGCGCGCAATCCGTTAATCGTCCCCACCGATGATACGCGCGACGTTAAATAGTTCGAAGCGTATGCGTGGTGGCAATCGTACGTTATATAAATTCGTCGCGCGCGACACAGCATGTGTGTTCGGGAGTGGGTAGGTGGCGAGAGGGCGAGATAGAGCGAACCATAACTCATTGACACGCACGCATATATGAGACAGTCCATTGTCGTGCGGGTGGTATGCGTATTGCGTGCATACATGTATACCGGAGCGCATCGATCAACTTGACTGCTGCTGCTGCTGCTGCCTCGTGTGCGCAGAGCAGCAGCAGAGAGGCCTGTGTCGTGTATACATTATTATACGTCGTCGACGAAATGTGTGTCTAGCTCAATGGCACATACGTTAATGTACAGTGCTGCAAGCTCCTGAAACATTACTACAAATGGATCACCAGACTCTCTCTCTCCCCTGCCGCTCCAGCCCATGTTTAACAAAAGTACCAGGATTCGAAGAAAAAAAAGCAGCAGCAGAAGCAGAAGCTCGCAAAAGTACACACATAGAGCAGTATATACGCTCCGCTGTGTACACATAAAGTAGCCTTTTAAACGGGCGGCGGGGTAAGAGTTGAGCGAGAGAAAGAGAAAATAATCGCGCGCGCAACGTCACGCACGCGTCACAGAAACTCCCTCTTTTGGTCACATGTACCACTTCCCTCTCTCTCTCTCTCTCACTCTCTTTTTCCGTTTATTTACCTACACACACGAACAAAGCACGAGCTGGAGAGAGAGAGAGAGCAGAGCGGAGCAGAACAGAGCCAGCTAGTGTAAAATACGCATACACACACCGAGAAGGAGGGAGGGTAGATCGGAGCTTGCAACGGCTGGCGCGCCTGCGCGTCGCAGTTAGCTATCGACGCCCGGGGTGCAAGGGCCGTCGCGCGTGCGACGTATCGTACGTACTCGCACACACACACACACACACAGACACAGACTAGTACGGACTGGTATTGGTATATACCTTCTCTCTCACTCGCTTCGTATTCTTCAACTATAAACCGCTCTTGGCTCTCTCTCGAGCGCGCCAAAGCCAAGCCAAAAGCGAGCCAAGCTCCGAGGCAGGCAGGCAGGCAAGCATCGCGAGCAAAAGAGAGTCGAGCTTTCAGTAGTAAAGCCATCGCTCGATCAGCCGGGAGTATACGCGTTGTTGGTGGTGGTGGCAGTGGTGGAGAGTGTGCGCGCAGTCGGTTGTCGGGGGGGTGCTACTGCACCAGTGCTGCCTGCTGCTGCTGCCTCGAAACTCACGCGCACGCTCCGTCGTCGTCGTGTGTTCTGCTCGCTGCTGCTGCTGCTGCTGAACGACACATTCTCTCGTTCGTGTATATACGTGTGCTCGAGTGTGTGCTGTGTCGTGTGCTGTGCGGAGAGAGATCGAGAGGCGCGTGTTGTTCTCCTCGCATTTACTACTCGCGTGTGCGTGGCCAGCAGTCCAGTGTGCATTCAGCTGCGAGAGAGGTTGAGTATAGTGCAAAGTAGAGAGAAAGAAACAACACAGCAGCGAGTGTGTGCGTTGCGTGCGTGTGCCCAGTAGTGCTCGAGTTTTGATTTATAGCTGCTGCTGGTGATTTTATTATCGAGTTTTTCCTCCAAGATTTATACTGCTATACACATCGCGTTACGCACGAGGTGCACAGTGGTGTGTGTGTGGCTGTGTGATCGCCCAAAAATTTCGAGAGTATAACGGAAACATGCTAATCCGGACGAGCTGAGACGGACAGGGATAGAGAGAAGAATTTTGGAAGCGACGCACGAGAGTCGTCGACATGATCGTCGTCAGGTGAGCGATGACATTAAAACTTATGTACACGATAATCCAGACGACGCGTTTTATTTTTTAACTATCTCTGTACAAAGATGGCAGAACGAGAGAGAGAGAGAGAGAGAGATAGAGAACGAGATACTCCTCGCTGCCCTCGTGCAATATAAACGTGTGCCAGTCGAGCGTATATAAATGCTCTGGACCACACGGGCGGAGGCGCTCGCTCTGTCTCTCTCTCTCTCGCTTTCGCTGCGCTTATATCGCCTTTTTAATGCTCCGAAACACGTACTTTAACGTACGTAGTAGAGAAACTTTATGACGCTATACTGGTGTACGCGTGCGACATTTTTTTTGTCCCCTTATGCTACTACACCTGTGCCGTGTTGTGCTCCATAAACACGTCGAGTGCTCGATTTGTTGATAAATAAGCGCAACGACAATAGCCCTAACGGTGGCTATATAGAGGCCCAATCGTGAAAAAAAGCCTCAGAACTATTATAGAACTGGGGAGCTGTCTGAATTTCATACGTGCAGGTGGTAGTGTGTATAACGAAGAAGACATGCGTGCATAAGTCGTGCTTTGTATCAGGTGCGTTGTACACCGCATAAACGATAATAAAAAAACACAGCTTTAGTTGGAAAAGCAGTGGCTGCATAGAAGGGCCACGAGATTTTGATAATTTTAGACTTTCTTTTTCTGTGCGGCTCTTTATTTGGAGAGTCGGATTCGCGCTTGTCAACGATCACAGCAACGCGACGACGACGACACGAGGTAAAAGCGAAAAAAGAAACAGCGAAAGTAACGAAACGTTAATGAGATTGTCAAAAGCTCGCGACTGCTGCTATTACTGTTACCGAGCGTCGTCGTCGTCGCGCGCGAGAGAGAAAATGTAGCTGCTGCTGCTGCAGGCTCTGCAGCTGCGATGGATTAATAAATTGTGCGGCGGCGGGAATAACGCATTCGCCGTGACCTGGAATTGCTAAAATTGCGTTTTTTCGATGAGAGGAGAGAATATATATCGCACGGATGTATAATTGTGAGCGCGCCGCGCGTGTAACGCAACAAAAATACCTTTCCTGCATCCCCGTGGCTGCATTATGTATGGAGAATCCACGAGACGAAATAAAATGTATACTCGATGTCTAAAAATTGCTCCCGCGCGCGAGCGAGTAATTAACGTTGCGAGGCAAAAAAAAAAAAAGAAAAATTGCTTCGTTCTTTTTCGCTCGAGCACGTTGATTGGTAACGATGCTGCTGCTGCTGCTGCTGCTGCTGGCCGCATCGGCTATATATGCTACATGCATCATTCACGAGTGCATGGGTCAAGTGGCTTTTCACAAATTAGACACTGCTGCCGCTGCTGTGTATCAGGCCGCGGCGGGGTCGAGTCTCGTCGTCGTCATAGTCGTCGTCGTCGTCTAGGATCAAATTAACCATCGAGCTAATAATTCATAAACGTTTTGGTTGGAGACAAAAGCACGCTGAGGGGTTTATACGAAGGCTTTATATCTCGCAGTAGCAGAAATGTTAAAACCTTGTTGTGAAGCTTCCCTCGACAATGAATTGCTTTTTATGATAGAGACAATTTCGTTGTAAATGTTAAACTTTTCCTGCGTCCATAGCGTCAAAAGAGATTATGTACGAGCCACGCGTACACACGTAGCATGAAATTAGGATTCGCAGCTCGACCCGAGATCGAATTTCTCGGTCCGTCGTCGTGCAGCAGCAGCTATTCTATCAATTTTTCACATTTTATACACGAGAAATATATATTTTTAGTGACACACGTGGCTATCGGCATTATACATTAATACGCATCGCTGCGCGTATACCAACCGATATCTCTCTCTCTCTTTTTATTCGTTGTTCATCTGACTCTGTGTTAGCGTGTGTTTGTATAAAGGCTCAAACTTCACTGTATCCTATACACACCAACGGAGCTTAGTCTCTCTCTCTCTTTTTTCTTGAAATTTGTGTCAGGCAAAAAATGATAGTTGTTTAGCTCGGTGCATGTTTATATATCTATACACACACAGCACACGTAACGGAGTGCAGCTGGTTGTGTGTGTGTGTGTCGTGCAGACTCAATTGGTGTCATTGCACGCTGCTCGCGCGGGTACAAAAGAACCTAGCTGCAGTATTGCTCAGGGGTATACATATACACATTATTATATACAGACACACACACACACATGCAGCAGAAGCAGCTCGCGCTCGTCTTTTCCCGAAACGCGAAAAGAAAAGGAAGAAAAGAAATTCGTTTATATACACGTTTGTCTAAGGGAAAATATACGTACGTTAACGCGAACTTATAACTGCTCGATCGAGATTTTCAATAAAGTACGCGACGATTAAATCTCCTTCTCGACATAACAGAATGCAATTATTACGACTCTCGGCTGCTCGCGTGCTAGCTCGTTTTATTTATATTATATGCATGCATACGCGCGTGTTATAATTCTATATACTTTAATCCCCCCGCGCCGTTTCCTCGCTTAATCGATTGCTGTTACACAAATATAAATATACAGCTATATAACGTAAAAGCGGGTGATCACAATTATATAAATAATAACAATAACAATAACAATCTAGCGATGAAACGTACGTAACGACAAACATCGTAAGTAAATAGAATTTTTCCGCCCTGTCCAAACGTAGCACCCCTCACACGTATGTAAACGTCGCTGCTCGAGGCACTTGACGCACGCGATATGTATACGCGTGGTAGTAGTGGCTGCTCGTATATTTTGACATTCACACACAGTGTGTGTGTGTGTTTGCGTGTGGATGCGTGTAGTGCAGCAGCAGCGAATTTTCTCTCTTTCTCCTTTATTTACATTCATCTTCAGCCATCATAATACCGTGTGTGTGCGGATAGCAGCGTTGTTATACGCGTACGCGGCTTGCGCAGCCAAGGCAAAAGTTCGCAGCAGTGTGCGGGCAGTATTCGAGCGAAAAGTGATATTCCCTACGTCCTACACAGAGAGATGTGCTCTTGTGCTTATTAAGAGCGATGTACGCGACACGGCAGCTGGAGCGTAAAATCGCTTTTCGGGCCATTCTCGTACATGTACAGTGGTATAAGGTAGTACTACTTGTGTAACTGACCCTCGAGTATATGTACGATGATACATAAGCGACGACACGACAGCATAGTGACACACAAAAGCGTATATGTAATGTTCGATCGAATTAATTCTACATAACTTGCAAATAAATCGAACTCTCTCTTTCTTCTGCTTGACTAATGAAAAATAAATTACGAAGGCGCCACCGTTTCGAGTACAAGTATAATACGACACGTATAAGGTCTACCCCAGAGAGGCAAGTAGAATGAAAGCTCGTACTGAAAGAAAAGTAGAAGAAGAAGAAGAAGTGAACGGGAAAGGGGTACACACTGTAGCGCACGACTCGCGACGTTGTATTATTTGCTCCGCTCGAATTTCCTTGAGAGTGGCCTGATTCGTTCCTAAATAGCTGGTATACAGTAGCAGTTGGCGTTTCTTCGGATCGCCACTGGCTAGTTATGTCGTATACCTCATTATTCGTTCGTACATACACACACACACACACGAGCCTGTGTGTGCAGTGCTTAGCCCTGTTCTCCGCACTGATACGGCCATGACATCGACGACGGTACGTAAATAAGAGAGTCCCCCCGCATAGTATATAACGTTCGATATTTTTCCATTTGAAATTGTCGACGAATAGGCGACGGATACATATATGCCTCCATTCATTATATCGCCGTTGTCATCGTCGTCGTCGTCGTCGAAAACATATAAGAGCTAAAAGAGTCGCATCGAGAGTTCGATTAACGAAGCGAGGCGAGGAATCAATCGAGCTCTCGGGCACAGGCAACAAATTGCGAGTGTGTGTGCAGCAATACAAAAGCCAGCGATCGAGGCGCGCTGTATATAACAGTAGATAGATAGCCTTCGACTATGCAGCAGCGCGAAAATGAATAAATAAAAGCTCGCGGCCCAATCAATCTACAGGCACGTGTGTGTGTATGTGTGTAATATGAAAATCATGTCGCGTCCCGCGCGGTTCGTCGACCTCATCATGTGAAAGAAAAGAGCATAGCTCAAATCTCAAATCGATACACGCGAAATTCCAGCGAGCTTCTTCTTCATCTTCTTTCTCGTTTCTCGAGTCTTTTTTCTTCCTAAAAAGTGTCACGAGCCGTTTAGATGGTTCGCGAATATGATCATCGAGTGCACACGCACACTCGTGTTGAGGTACACGAATCGCTCGAGCGACGGAAGAGGTGCAGCTACCGCATATAACGCGAGCTCGGTACAACGCGAGCATTGTACGCAACGCGACAAGGGCTTCGTCGTAAGCAGCTTTCTCCGCTTGCCGTGCGCTATACTGCACGCGGAGGGCGACCTATAGGCAGTGCAAGCTTGACTAGTAGGCGCTCTCTCAATATTCATTTTTACATATCGGCTCTGGCATTGTGACAACGTGGTAATTGTTTTTTCTTTGCTGTAAAATTCCCAGAGAGCTCGAGTGAAAAATCTTGAATCGTTTTTCCACATCGAACCTTATCGCGGTATCTGGGAGGTGGTTAATTTTACTACCTTCGTCTTATAGTTCACCTTATTATGATTCATCTTAGTTCGAGGATTTAAGTATAAGACTACAAGATTTAAGTAATAGATATAAAAACATCGACAGTGTCATTTACGAAAAGTGATTTCTAATCACCTTTTATATCGAAAACTGAAAGGTAGATCTCCTTAGTCGTAGATTTACTAAATACTAAAACTTTGTCTTTTCTCTTTTGGTTGTCAAAAAATTCTGCCGTACGCCATCTAGCGGTAACTTATAGACTACTGCGTATGGGGGAAAAAATTCAAAATACATGAATTTTTTTAGCACGCACGTCTCACCACATAAGAGTTTTGTATTTTACAAGAATTTTTCGTTACTTTCTCAATACAAGGATTGTAATTAAATTTTATAAGATAACGGTAGTATTCAAGTTTTTATAGTAATGATGAATACACATAGCGGTCGAATAAACCTGCAGAATATTTACTTTAATAAAATAGTAGTATTTGGTTTTAAGAGTAATTGTTTGAATTTCAAAATAAATATACCTGCGAAAAATCATTAAAGAATACCTACTCGAATATTTCGCTACAACCGTCCATTAAAACTACTTGAAATTTACGAACAATTCTTACAGCGTGTTTACTTTGGGAAATTATGGAAACAAAGCGGACAAGAGTCTTCATTTCAATTCGCTTCTTTTCATTTAATATAACCTTAATTGGACGGCTTATCTCGCGAATAGAATCGACCTAGAGCATTTCCGCTTTAAATATATAAATATCATCGCGCATTCCTCGCTCAAAACGATACAGGCAATTGAAAGGTATTATAATTTCGCTCGGCCAGTAAATGTACGCCGCGTATACGGCGTTCGAATTCGCATACGCAATGCTAACCCGATAAAACGCGAATGTTACGAGCTCGAAGCACGACTAATATTCAGCGATGATATTAATGATTACTTAGCGAATAAATAGACTCGAAATATTCGAGCAATAATCGGTAATCGATAATTTTAAGTTCCGAAGTACGAATAAATACGCTCGCGATAGTGCGCGCTAATTACCGAAGATTAATCGCAAACTATTCGTGGAAAAGAAGATTTTACAGTCGACGTGATGTATAAAAGTAATGATAAAGCAATGATATTACCACAGAAATTAACGCGTCAAAGGTGGAAGAAAAAAAGCGTGCGGGGGTTCGTCGCGTTGTAATGGGAAAATCCGATCGACTCTCGGCAGCGATTCTAATTACGAACGTAGGCATCCCGCGCGCGTAACCCGGCTGCCGATTAGACGATAAATTAATTACCAATTAACTGCGAACTTTCGAATAATCGCGTTGAGCTCTGCGTTCGCAATGAGATACATACACGTACGTCGTTGTCGGGCAACGCATTAATCGCAGCCGAATAATTCAACCGCCGGGATGGACGAGTATGAATCTGCCTTTTATCTTTAATTTTTGAGATGTAAAATAAAAGCTCGGCAAGTAGTTCCTCGTGAATAAATAGTTTTTTTTTATGTACAAATCCTAAAGCTTTACTGTATGCAAACGGTCTTGTCTGGGTATCAGTCGTATTCAAAAGCCAACGAGTCTGTGTGCGCGTGCACGGTGTATGCCCTTTCATTTTGCTTTGGAGAACTCTTTGACTCTCTATAGTCGCGAGGTTCTTTAATATGCCATCAGTGCAGCGTTGCCCGACGCGATCTTTGCACAAAAAAAAAACATATAGACACGCGCTCCGCACGCACAGTCGTGTCTATTGTTGCAATCTACATATGCTATGTGGTAGATTTTCGACGAAAAGTAAAATATACAGGCGCACCTGAGCGAGTATTTGTGCATCCGAGTGCGCTCGTACTTGTGTGTTTGAAACTGCGAAAGAGAAAAGAAAAATTCGAAGAGGTAAAGAGCGCGGAATTAGGACGGTTTGAATTTTTTAAAACTTTTCATTCGCGCGAGGCTCTTCGCGACGGAGAGAGAGAGAGAGAGAGAGAGAGAGATCTCCGCGGAGGAATTGTTTCGTTTTGCATACGCGATTGAATAGTTAGCGGTGTTCAAATGATTTTCCATTACTTATTGTTAATAATTAAGTGTTTTTCGTAACACGGTTAAAAGTTGAGGTACTTTTACAAGAAATCTTCGTTGACAATGAACGTATCTGTACAAATTTATTTTTTACATGAACTGCACAAAAATTACATGTAAATGTTATCGTGTGCGTTATTTTCAACGCACACGATTACTAAAAAGATTTAAAATCATACTTGAATGTCAATATTGTTCATCAAAATCCATTTATCATCGATCAAAATTAAAGTCAGCATCCACCACTAGATGGCAAAAATACCTTTATCTGTAAATCTGCAAGTGCCCAAGTAACAAAGAGTGTATAAGATAAGCGAGAAAAATATTCAAATTCATGTGTGGTAAAGTAACAAAGAGTGTATAAGCTAAAGCAAGGTTCTCAGATGCGTAGCGATTGTCTTTTTTTTTAAAAACTTTAACGATAGTATTTTGAACGGTGTACATGGTACCAAGATGATAGAATGAAAAATCGTCTCCGATTGATTTCAGAAGTGCGAGGTGGGAAGCGCGAGGGAAGCGGCCAAATCCCAAGCAGGCGACCGACGACGGCCCACAAGACAGACTGAAAAAGAATAATCGAGCGCCGAGACAATCGATACACAATTGAAGCTTCGCTTCACGCAAAAGCCAAGCAACTGGACGAGAGAAGAAGTAGAGGAAGAAGAAGAAGAGGAAGAGGAAGGCCAGCTGAAGCCAAACCAGTCGCCCTCGGTGCACTCGCGCCCTAAGGAGGTGACTGCTCGGCTCCGCGCCCTTATCCAGGCCAGTCGACGGGGGATGCAGCTGAGCAGCTCGATCCTCACAGGGACGCCGCAGGCATGGAGGAGCCCTCGCTCGAGGCCCCCATGCAGGCGGGCTTCATCTTCGTGGTCGGCGTCGCCATCATACTCTCGAATCTGCTCATCATCGCCACTTATCTCAATTATCGGGGCCCCACCGAGGTGATAAACTACTACCTGCTGTCGCTCGCCACGGCCGATCTGCTGTGCGGCCTGCTGGTCGTGCCGCTCTCGGTCTATCCGGCCCTGGTCAGGAGATGGGTCTACGGCGACATCGTGTGCCGCCTCGTCGGCTATCTCGAGGTCACCCTCTGGGCCGTGTCCGTCTACACGTTCATGTGGATCTCCGTCGATCGCTATCTCGCCATCAGGTTAGTATTTTTTTACTTGAGACTGACGCGTCATTGTGCTAAATCCTGATTTGAAAATTGAATGTTAATATTGAATTAGTTTTTGATGTAAAATTATGTTTTTATGAGTATTTTTATACAAGAAAATGTGTCTCTACATTGATCAATCTTGATCCTTCAGATCTTAACATTATTGTAATACAGGAGTCCCTCGTTATACGCGGGGGTTACGTTCCTCAAAAGTACCGCGTATAACAAAACCGCGGATAATAAGACCTTGCTCTTATGGGAAAGAGAGGGTTACGTTCCTCAACCTCGAGAAAGCACAGTTTATATGTTCATTTTACCTACAAATAAACGAATTTGTTGAGTAGTTTATCTATTTATACATGTTTATTTATATTTACAACCAGGGGCGGATCCAGAACCAAAGTTTAGGGGGGGCGATAATAAGAAATTTTTTTTTATAAGTTACAAACGTAACACCAAAATTAATCATTAAGATAATTACCAATAGTAACCAAATCAACCCAGTTAAAAATATTTTAAAAAAAAATTAAGTATGCAAACCCAAGTAACCTCAAGTAACCAAATAGATCCAGTTTGTGTAGTTTTAATAATTAAATATTCAAACCCAAGTAACCCTGTGTAACCAGAGTATCCAAATCGATCCAGCTAGAACAGCTTTAATGATCAAATGTGTAACTACAATAAACCCAAGTAACTAAATTGATCAAGTTCGTACAATTTTTGAATAATTAAATAAATGCAAACGCAAGTAATCCCAAAAAATCAAATCAACCCAGCTCGTGCTGTTTATTTATACGTAAATCCGCAGAACTTCTTCAAATAATTTAGGGTCAAAATTCGAGAATGAATGCTCACCTCTGAAATTTTCTCATTTTTTTAAAAAACTTTACAAGAAATAAAAAGCATCCACTGTAATTCAATTTTCACGAACGCTTTGTGTGATCTAGTGATAATTATGGTTTCTACTTACTATATAGTAGAGAGGATGTGGTTAGATTGCTCCTCAAAATGTCCACCTGCCCCTCCACAATTTTCAAAAATGTGAATTTCACGTGATTTTTGCATGATTTTCGCATGTTTTTCACCTTTTTTTAATTATTATTTTCTAACTGCTCCTCAAAAATTCCACTGATCCTTCACTGCTCCTCCACCGTAAATCCACCGGGATACGTGATAGGTACTTTTATATTAATACAAAGGTACTTTTATACATAGGTACTTTTATAATACACAACAAAATATTTCATCGAAATTTTGTCAATTTTCAAATTTTTCTATCTTGGGCTATATCTATCGTATCGACACGAAAGGTACCGCAAAATGTTTAGAAAATGGTGTTGATTTCAGCTAAACGAGGGATTTACGTACTATAAATGGTACCTTCAAATCGACCTACAGGGCGCAAAATCATCGTAAAGAGCTCTATTTCTTTTTTAAATTACTCGTTGAAAAGAGTACTTTGCGATGGTGTATGTTATATTTAAACAAAATATTACTGTGGTACTGGTACACGTTCAAACAATCTTTTTTTTTCAGTAATTTTACGTGTTGCGCTAAAATACTACTGGTAACTCGATATTGACTCGAACCTTATCATAGTATATATGGATTTAAAGAGGACAAGATTTCCAAGGAATCAAAAAAAAATCGTGTCGATACGATTGGTCTGGGAGTGGGCTACCTTCCCGTAGGAAACTATAAGTGGATGGTTGGAATAAGATGTTATCGATAGATTTTGACCCGCTGAGATAAGAACTAGTATTTACACGTGTAAATACAAGCGTTAATTTCTAATGTGGTCGATATGCACTTTGAAATTATAATATTTTCAGTTCATTCACGCATAAAATTAAATAAAAAGAGTACTTAGCATATTGGCAGAGAAATATGCATAACCGTCAGTGGTTCGTAAAATGTTCTTAATAACGAAAGGGATAAAATATTCCGAGACAGTTTCTGAACCGAAACCTCTGCACAAATTACAGCAATAAAGCCTCATAATTTTAAAAAAGCTTAAATGGCGGTATCACGACTAAAACTATTGCGAGTTGTGTGATGTGCACAGTGTGCACTGTATCTTAGGAAAAAGTATATTATCAATGATCAAGTTGAATTTTGACTCTCAAAAAGAGTCAAAGTTCCACTGCATGAATGGGTAATATCGATTAAAATGCAGGCAATATTATGGTATTACAAAGCTGCCAGTTAAACTCCCAATCGGTTAAAAACCCAAAAGTTTAAAGGATTTTGGAGAATCGTGATATTTTTTTGCAGTTTTCACTATTCAAAAGCACGTCGAGCGCAAATTATACTTTTTGAAAACTGTTGTCTGGAAGAAGTGCGAGGAGCGCAGTTCATACTTTTTAAACGTGTTTCAAGCGCAGATTACACTTTTTGAAAAAATGGTCACCNTTCGACGGAGTTTTAGATGAAGCCATACTTAAATAAATTTATAAATTTTCAACAAATTTAGGTTAATTGACAATTTCGATTTACGCGTCTACACTAACCAAATTCAAACTGAATATGGATACGTCCGAGAAAAAAATCACGATCTTCGATCAGCGGATAACAAGACTCGACCCGCGGATACGAAGGGATGGGCGCAAATCGACTAACCGCGGATAACGAATTCCGTGGATAATAAACCCGCGTATAACGAGGGACTCCTGTATTTTTTTTAAGTGAAGAAAATTTTCAAAAAATGTATATGAAAATTTTTTACAGATTGAAATACAAAAAAAAAGCTAAAAAAGGTGTTTTAGAAGCTTATGGCTAGTTTTTGAAGCTTATAGATTAAATAAATAATTTAATCAAAAATTTGCTTCATGTAAATGGAAGAGAATGGTGTTACAATGCTTTCAAGACCTCAAAAATTACATTTACATTCATGCGACACAGAACTTTGCGATTATAAGTTATTATGGATAAATTCGTGATTAATTTAAATAATTAAAGGTACTAGAGTCATATTTTTTTAAGTAAGAACATAATAACAATATTAACATAAAATTTTCACGTCGTTTTTTAATTTACAATTCTAATTTCTCAATCATATGAAACATTGAATCGTGACTAATCGAACTCGTTTGTTTTATACAGAAAACCACTGCGCTACGAGACGGTCCAGACGAAGACGCGCTGCCAGTGCTGGATGGCGTTCACCTGGATCTCGGTGGCGATGATGTGCTGCCCGCCCCTGCTGGGCTTCAACAAGGCCATCTTCGACTCGGAGGCGTTCATCTGCATGCTCGACTGGGGTAACATGGCCGCCTACACGATCACCCTGTCGATCCTCGTGCTCGGGCCCTCGGTCATCACCATCGTCTACACGTACTTCTACATATTCTCGATGATGAGGAAGCTGAGGTCGGGCGTGCCCATACACGACAAGGAGTACGCCACTGCCCTGTCGGAGAACCTGAGCAATCCAAGCCACATCATGTCCTTCGTCCTGGTCATGGCGTTCTGGATCTCGTGGGCGCCCTACGCCGGCCTCAGGATCTGGTCCTCGCTCAACGGGCCACCGCAGGTTCGATTTTTTCTCTTACGTCTCCAAGTGGATTCGTGCATATCTATATGTGTATGTGCACGTACTATGCATATGCTGCTTTGACCTCAGAATTTGCACAGTTGGCTTCTTGCCAACAGCTGCGTGAGCTATGCTGCACGTATATACATATAAATATACATATATACGACTCGCGAGTAACGATCTAAGTTTTGCAAGGATATACGTAACTCGCAAAATTTCTTGCACACACATATTTCACGTACCCTTACGTATGTTACATTATTATTATTATGCTCGCACAGGTGCCGTTCCTACACTTCGCCGTCGTGTGGTTCGGGGTGACCAACAGCTTCTGGAAGGCCGTGGTGCTGGGCACCCTCAGTCCGCAGTTCCGCCTGGCGGCGCGCGTCCTCTGCCTGACGCTCTGCTGCCGGCATCGCCGACTGCCCCCAGAGCTGCTCGGACTCGACGACGATGATTGAAAGATAAGACGAGAGATGACGTGTCACAGACAACAACAACAACAGAACAACAACAACAATGATTCCTCAGTTATTATCGCCAACAGCAGCAGCAGCAGCAACAACGATTCCACTTACTCCTCGGCCGCCAGGTCCATGCTATTGGCTTGCGTGCGCGGCTTCGTGCAGATGATCCTGTCGACCCGCGTCAAGATCAATTTCGTGCGCTTTGGCTGCTTCGTCGTGCCCACGCCCAGGTTGCGCGACGTCGATTATCCCGCTTGATTTTTACCCTTTTTTATTATTATTTTTGTTTCGATTCATTTTATATTTTTACTCCACACACACGTACAGACGCGCACACATAATTCGACACGATTACACACAGAAATAACGCAAATGCGAGTCCGTTTGTTCGACCAAAAAAGTTTGGGAGGTGGACACGCGAATCTCGATGGCTCGGCGGCGACGGCGGCGGCGCGCGTAATAACGTCCATTAAATTATGTATTACAATTTACTCTGTCAACAACTATAAGCTGTGCAAAGTTATAATATGTAATAAATGATGCAAACGCGTCGAAAACACGTGTGTATAAGTGAACGAAAAAATAAAAACTTTTGAAAACTGCAGAAGCAGCGGTATATATGTACGTGCGCCCAACTATTATTATGGCCTTGCACACGACCGTATAGCTTAAAAAAAAAAAGTAAAATTGCATCGTGTTTATTATTATGTGCGCAGCTCGATGGACAGGCTCGATAATTCGCAACTATAGCCGTGTATAATGACACACAAAAAACGATCTGCGACGTACTGCGTACATATCATAATATACCATGGGTAAAACTCAAATGACTTGGTGGCTTTGAATCGCCTTTTTTTTAAATGATTCAAAAATCTCATAGGGTTCATTTGAAAATATTATGAAAAAAATTCGATTAATAACTTCAAGTATAGATGTAATTGTTAAACAATTCAAAATCCACAACACCATTGTACGGTAAAGTGACCAAATTATATGAATTTTCCCATGATTGCATCAGTTCATAATATAAAAACCACCAAGAAAGACTGGACTACTCACGACTACTATATTATACTAATACCGTATTTATGGTTTAACTATAAATATAAGCGCATAAGATACGTAAATGAAAAAAAAATAACTACATAAAATAGGCTAGTCGGCAAAAAAGTGCTAGATGACAATTTTACTTAAAGTATAAGTCTATATTACAGCGAAAAATCCGATGATCGATCGCCGCGTCCATCGAGAAATTCACGCGAATTCCACCTCCCAGGAACGACATATTATAAATCCCCCCTTGCAGCAGCGACACAACGTTGTTTTGTCATCGCGTCACTCTCTCTGTCTGTCTACCAAAAAAACAAACCAAAAAAAAAAACAATGTCCCGAATGGACTGAAAACACGCATCGCGCTACGTCACGATTGAAAAAAAATTATATAACTACAAAAATAAAGATAATTAAGATCGAACAAAAAAAATCACCGACTCGAGGAAGCTAATATTTGCCAACCCTACGTTGCAAAATTACGCAACAGAGCGATGTTACGTGTCGTTCTTTATTAATAAATACACACACTTTGCTAATAAATAAAAAAATATTATTGAAAAAATATATATGTATCTATATAACGATAGATATGTTTTACCCATTTACGCATCGAATTAATATGCTTTTCAGCGCATATAAAAATCATACTTTGGAAGATCTGCTTTTCACGCGCGTCATCCCGCTCGAGCATAAAACATTTTTCTCGCGCTCACTTTAATGCTTGCGTAAATTTTTGCACGTAATTAAAAGTTTTTCTTTCGTTATTTTTCATTTTCTGTTAAAAGATGATTATGATTTAAAAAATGTGCACATTTTAGTAAGTATTATTACATACTTAACTGATATCATCTCTCTCAACAAGAACACAATCAGAGACAGTATAAACAAAAACACACGTAAATGGATAAACAATATTAATTAATATAAATGATTAGAATTAATGTGTATGAATTGTATGTACGTGGGTGTGATAAAAAAAGCTCACTAAACATAAATATATAATAATAAAAAAAATATAACGTGGATATACTACGATAACGAGTGAACAGAGAGAGATAGAGAGGAAAGTGATGCATTTGAGCGCGAGGAGCGCAAATATTGTTATTGATCTGATTGATGCGAGTGCAGCGATTGATCGACGTGTGACATGAATTTGGAAAGAGGTTAAAAAAAATGTGTGAAGTACTTAGCGTATATAGTTATATATAAATAAAAATTACAAATATATTTGCTCAGCAGCTGCCGCCACAAATGCAACTGGCGTGATTCGAATCGAATTTTTGTATATTATAAAGCTAATCAAACTTTTTAGCAAAAAACTTAGTGTAAAAAAATCAGTGCAACATCACAACGTTACTATTAATGATTATGAAAATAAAAAATAAAAATAATAGTTATGTGAGTACGACAAGACATATGTGATGTTTCGTTTGTCAATATAAGGTACACACATTTGCAAAGCGAATTTTTTCATTGTTTTCGTTTTTTGCCTATTATATATTACATAAATTGTCTTTTGCACGAGAAGCGCAGGTAGCAATGAGATGCAGACTATCGAAGGGAACACTACGAAACAGTAGCAAAGTTTATTGTGATGTTGAATCGTCGATGGTTTTTACATTTTATTATTGTTTTAGCGTATAATGATCGAACTTGTGAAGAAGAAAAAATAATTGAAAATTTGCACACCAATATATAAGTATAAGTTTTTCTCGTTTTGTCTACGCGTGCGAACGTTTGGGGAAAACATATACGCGACAAAAAAAAAGGTGAAAAAAAAACCACGAACTAAAGTCTGCAAAACAAGCGTATACCACACGTTCCACGAGTATTTTAAAAACGCGCACGGTTTAAGTAAAAAAGAAAAGAAGCAAAAAAAGACACACAATTGATTTGCATTTTTACACGATTTCGCTCGTATACGTATATGAAACGATGGCTCGACAAATCAATTTAATTCCTATACGTATATTAAAATACATATAATTAAATATCAAATGAACTGGTTTTTGTAAAACGAAGCATGATGAAAGTTTCTTTTTCCTAGATGCAAAGCAATTATACAATGTAAACAAAAGAAAAAATTGTGTAAGATAAATTAACAAAAAAAAAAAAAATAGATATTAAATACATATGATATTGACAAATATAATGAACAACAATGATACTTTTCTTACGAACTTAAATGTGACGAATGGTTAAATATGTTTACAATTACAAAAGACAAAAAATTTCACACGACTCAACGATGTCACAGAAAATTTTAAAAAATGTAAAAAAAAAATATACGATAGAAAACGAAAAAAAAAACAAAATAAAACGTTAAAATATGATAAAAATTTTTATCGATCCTCGCTGGTCATGTCAACTTGACTTCTACTTTATAAGAATAATGTAGAAAAGCGTTACAGTATATATTCCGAGGTAAATTGCAGCTTCATCACTTAAAAATCGTCTCGCTTCGTTCGATACCTCAAACTACTAAACCTAACTTAGAATGAGAGAGGAGAGGACACGTTGTAAAAAAAAGATGAATAGACCATTCGAAAATTACAATGCAAACTCGTTCAAATGAGATTTAAAAAGAGGTAAAATTGATATATTATTCGAATAATTGTAAAGCAGTTATAAATTGCAGACGAAATTTTCATGTACTTGACGTAAATATTTTAGTAAAAAAAGAAAAGACGACGAAAATACAATATTTTCTGCCCATAGTAATTCGCATATATTAAAGGCCGAAGACGAAATAATTGTTGAAAAAAATCTATCGAGAATCGTATAAAAATTTTCTGTAATTTGTTCTTTTTTTCGCGTGAAACTGTTCGAAGGAAATGAGTAAGTGGAAAAAAATTATAAATAAAATAATGTCGTAATCCAAAGCGTTCAAAGGTGTGTGCATGCGCACGAAACAGATGTATAGAAAAGAAAATAATATAAATACAATGTAAAAGAGACTAGTCAATTAACAAAAAGTCTAGCTACTGAAAAAAAAATTCTATGAAGAAAAAAAATTATAAATATATCTATGCTATAATGCAACGTGACATCGATGCGACGTTTTTTTCGTCAATCCCCACGTGCTCATTAAAAGTTTTTCTTTTAACGAGGTCTTCACTTTTGTCCGCGTTACTCCGACGATTTTACAAACTGCAATATCCAAACTGACTGTTAATTTTTCTTTTTTGATTCAGAAAAAAATATTATGTATTACTGAACCTCGAATCATCGAAATTACTAAAATTATTTTGTACATCAATTGATCAAGACAGCAATAGATCTAACTTTTTTGACTTACAATATTGATCGACTGTACATTTGATTATCTTTAATGCCAAAGCCAGTCGCGCCATAATCTTGTTAGGCTTTGTCTAATAACATTACAATGAGCTTAATTTAATGATGCGAAATCATTGTAGATAAATAAATTAGTAAAGATAAATTATAAAAAAATGGAACGCAACCGCTTTGAGTATTAAAAGTCGTAAAAAAAAACTTTTATTTCTATTTTCGGGGGCCGTTGCTGTACTGCAACCTCGAAATTGAAAAAAAAAGAAAAGACAATGCTTATTAGTTATAATTTTTACGTACTGTTATGACACCGTAGAATTTATTATCCTATGGCATAATTACTTTATTATTGTACAAATTCGATTGTTAATAGATTTGACTTGTTATAATGTTAAGATGTGTAAATAAAAACTAATTTGTTAATAGAAATTTTTGTTTCTCATTTATTTATCAAAAAAAATTCTTCATCCTTACAATGTCTAGCAAGTATTTAAGTCAATGCTTCGTCGTTCCACGGTTGCGATGATTGCGTGTGCAGCAAATATATTGTATTACCTACTTAGTCGTTACTACTCGAATTTCAGTTTGTGTTGTGCTTTGATAATATTTTCGTACAATTTTACAAATACTTTTCTTTCAAAAAAATCAACTGAAAATGAAAATATTTGGTAGAATTTGAAAGCTCGTAACAACGTTGAAGTGAAAAGGGGCTAAAAATCTATATGGAAGCAAAGTTTCTCGCATTATAATAATGAAGTTTTGAGAACCCTCTAAAATATCGCATATACAAAAGTCCATTAAGTTAAAATGACAATCGAGTGCGGTCGGAGGAGGCTCGCACGACATCCACTAACAGAGAAATATGGTAACGGAGGAAAAGAGTGGGAGACGAAAGTATATACCGTAGGGTAAAAAAAAGGACGAGAATATAATGTATATGTATGGCCGAGGATCCTCGAACTTTCAGTGACTTCGTAGTTAAGTTAACATTACGTATGCGACAGTAAAAGGGCAAAGAACGACCCGGCCGAAGAAGTCCTCGAACGAGTGCGCGTATATTACAGTACTGCAAAGTATAACAAAAGCGGACGACGACTCCAAGATGATCGAGACACAAGAAGAAGCTAAAGTGAGTAAAATATAGATTTATTTAAATTTTTTCTTACAAATTGTTACTGAAATTAAAATAGGCGACTCAAATACTGTAATAATATCGATTATTCGTACTTCAAAAACTTCCTTTTATTAAAAAGTTTTATTTGAATTTGAAAATTAGATTAGTACGAAAACGTAAGCTTGGGAACTATCATGCGTCAAATATTTTTTACAACGTGGAGAAAAATTCAGAACAAACTCACTTTTGGCGTAAACTACGCTAAAGGTATTTTTTACACCACTAATCGACGTGATTGCTTGGACAGAAAGTTGATTTGGATACGTAGATTAATTTCGGATGTGTAGTATATAAATAAACTTGACAAGACAATCGCTCAACTTATTGTTGTAAATGTCTTTTATCTACATTTAATTTGATATTTAATAACTTCAGCTGCGCAGTCGTCTGGATAAGCAGGATGTTCATGTTCAGGAGAATGTTGTGGCCCCTTGTAAATGACAGGAACTTCATTTTCCTGCGCAAGAGAAGTAATTGCTCGCGCACGACACTCTTTTCTTCGCAAACGAGTGCAGTTCCAGTACGATTTTTCTTTTTCCGGAATGTCTCTCGACTTATGGTATAAAAACCCATCAATAATTAATTTACTCCCGATTAAAATAACGTTATTACTCATTGTAAAAAATCAAAAATAAGGTTATCGCAAAAAAAAAAGTTGAACAATGCCGCGTCAACCCTTTACCTGAACTTGCGCATACATTAAGCTTATTCGTGAAATTAGTCATTCGTGAAGTTCGATTCGTGAAAATAGCTTTCGTGAACTATATATTCGTGAAAAAAGTATTCGTGAAATCAGTTATTCGTGAAATTTGATTCGTGAAAAACGACGGATACCGTGTATGGTTAATATAGCATTAAGTTGAAACTAATTTATTATAAAACATTTAACATTTTTTAAGCATCATACTTATTATAAACATAGTTTTTAACAAAACCATTTTTAAACACCTTTTCATTTATTAAATAGTTTAATTCTTGGTTTTCATTCTCAAGCTTCTCTGCCCTAAAACACCTTCTTATATATTCTTTCCTGTAACAAACAAATTGCAACAACAAAATAAAACATTTTTCTCTCTCTTTTTCTCACACGCGTGAGTGTGTGAGTGTGTGTTACGTTTAAGTGCTTCCAACTTGATCTACAGTATCAGATATAGAATTAAACAAAATTCTGAAGACATTTTTGAAGACGATAAGGGATGATAAAACTATCTAACGCATTTTAAATCTTTTTGGTTCTTTGCATTTTTTTCGTATAAGTGCTTACAACTCGATCTAGGTCTAGAGCATGATATAGATTTAATCGCAATTCTGAAGACACTTCTGAAGACGTTAACAGATGATAAAACTGGTTTCTGATTGATTTGATACTCCAGATACATCAATAATATTATTTTAGTGCGGGTTAAATGTATTAATACAAAAATTCTGATGAATATACCGTGAGCATCTCCTGAAATAGTTTAAGGGTTAGCAGAGGAGTAAAAAATAATCGTATCGATTCCAAAATTTATTCAGCGCATCTGCGGGTTACTAAAATGACATGATAAAAATTTGGACGCAATCGGTTGAACGGTTACTGAGATATCGTGTTTACAAGGACGTTCTGTTTTATCAATAGTAGGACTTCGCTCCGCTCAAATAAATTAATATGAATTTTCATCGTGATCACGATGTTGCCTGTTTTAATTACAATGATTGTAAATGTGCTGGAATTCACCAGCTAATCAATTTAGGCAAAAATAAATGAAACACAAAGTCTTATTAAAAGCACATTAAGAACAAGTATGAAACTTGTTAGTTGTCAATTTTTTATTTTTAATGCGACGTTTCGTCAAAATTTTTTCGATCTCATCAGGCTATAAAAAAGAAGAATTATTATATAATAATAGCTATACTCGTATCAATAAAATATCACCAATTTTCCACTCAATACACACCCGGTCACAGTGAGCATTATACTACACACACAAAATATTATTATAAGGCAGTATACCCATATAACTCACACAAGTAAAAATACAATTAAAGCAAGGAAAGCTCAATTCCAATGTATATATTGTTTTATATTAAGAAAAATAAATTTTCCATTAATATAAAAGAAGATACGCGTAGACTGAATTTCTCATATAGAAGTCTATTTTTATAATTTTATAATTTATTTCCGCGATGACTCTCTTGTACCAGTTTTTCTGTGCAAAATCTTGACGTTCTTGGAGTAGAACTCATGATGATGAGTACGTGTGTGTACATTGACAACTGCCTTTGGATCTTTGTTCTTTTTGTATTCATCAATGCGTGTCTATAAAGCTCTTTTTGTTTCATCCACAAAAGTTGCATTGCAAGATTTGCATGAGTTAAACCTGTATACTGAGTTTACCCGATCTAACGCGGGTGTCATATTCTTGCCCAGTATTATACAATGTCATTTCTTTTATTGGGAATTGATGAAACGAAATTAAAATTGTATTTTTTAACACTGCGTGCGCGAAACACGGGTTTTCTAACCTTGAAGCGTCTGAAAACCCTAGTTTCTCGCAAGCAGAGTTAAAAAATATCGTTTGCAACTAGTCCGCGAGGAAGTTGACTCACCCAGGAGTCTTTGCACCCTCGCTACGCTCGGGTGAAAACAACTCCTGGGTGAGTCAACTGCTTCGCACACTTGTTACAAAATATACTATTTTGTAACAAGTGCACACTTGTTACAAAATAGTACTACGCTCGGGTGAAAACAACTCCTGGGTGAGTCAACTGCTTCGCGCACTTGTTACAAAATAGTATATTTTGTAACAAGTGTGCGAAGCAGTTGACTCATCCAGGAGTTGTTTTCACCCGAACGTAGCGAGGGAAACAAAGACTAGGCTTTTCTGACGATTTAAGGTTAGAAAATCTGTGTTTCGCGCACGCAGTGTTAAAAAATATTGAATAAGTGCACTGTAAATAACCTAAGAATGACAATTCAATCGTTTCAAAAAATTTAGACCAGTTTTCAATCACTCGAAGTTCGATAGTATTACTTTAAAGCTTGACCACTTGATGGCGAGTCGTTTCATCTGGAAATCTGCAAGTGGAAAAGTAAAAATAATTGTATAAATCAAAGTAGGTTTTAATACCAGTGGTAGGAGACTTATTTATTAAATTGCGAGTTTAAACGTTATGAATGTAACATCCGAATTAACAGATATTACATAGTTATATATATTTATTCTTTTCCACAGAAGTGGTTAGGAGTTTATTTGAAATAATGATATGTTGACAAAGTTATATAATTTTTAAAAGACTCACATTGATTTATTCGTACTTGATTTTATCACACACACACACACGTTTTACTGGCCTCCTCTTAGCTCGGTGATGTCCCTCTCGTACGCTGCCCCGGACGATGGAGAACCAAAATGATCTTCAGAGGAGTTGAATCACTTGAACGCCTCGCGTAAATAGCAATGAATTTACTTCTCACAACTATTCGCACTTTAACTTTTCAAAGATGATTCTAGAGCTTGACTTAGATTTTCGTAGGATTTTAATGTATCGACACTTACACGAGCTGTGTACGGGCCGACTGACTCTAGGTAACAAGGCCGATTCCTCGGAAGCGCGGCCTATTTATATCAATGAGGTTCATTCCCTTTCACCATCTAACTTCTCACCCGTTCCTTCCTAATTCTAAATTTATCAAAAGAAATGAGATAAATTCCGAACACGTGACCCCTCAGACTGCATATGGATCGTAACCAACAATGTTTGATCGTAAACTCGTGCTGTACGATAGCGTCGTTTATTACCGAGTATTCTGGTCAATGTGAATGAGAAAGGTAAAAAGGATATCTTTATTAGAGTTTATGAACGTTCCATATGATCAGCTTATTTAATCAGCTGGCCACATGGCCGCATCTGCATTACTATATTTACTTAGTTGATTTTTATTCCAGCGTGAATGCATGTTATACTCTTGGTTCATGGCGCGGACTCAAGTTTCTTTGATATCAGATTGATGTTACAGAAAAATTACCATGCCTAGTATTTCTCACACATTTTTTATATTCCCGAAATCAGAGTTTTATTGCAGTCTAATGGGATCTTTGGAACGTAGCAATATAAATATCTCCCGAACACGTGTGCGACAATCAATTGTTACATTACGCGGGAGTACTCAATTTACCTTTTATTACTTTTTGTAATCATATTCGCGTAATGTGACATGAATAATGTTATCGAATGAAAATTAACAAATTTAATTTAATAAATGCTTCCATTTCAAATGTTAAAAATTGGAAATAATTTTGAAAGCAGTTTTATGCCGTCCTTTATAATCTTAGATTTATTTACGAAGCCATCAAAATGAAAACCCTCGATTTGTTCGCACGCAAACGAGCACTAATATTCAGAGCATACCTGCAGCAGTAATTTGTCCGCCGCATGGCACTTAACTTCTCATCGCGCCTCATATAAAGCAATGTATACCACTTGGTCACGCTCCTTAATTATTTAAAATAATTCAGTAAATTCGACCCCGTGCGGATTTTTAATTCAGCCGATACTATCGATCGGCCGCGCACCGTCGCTTCGACCGCGGCGTTCGCAACAATGCGCTGCTTAGTCGTGCTACGGTATGCTCGCGCCTCACAATGTACACACACACACACACACACACACACACACACACACACACACACACACACAAGCAGTCACTGAACTTCCCTTCTCCTCCTGAAAACCGCCACCGCTCAAATGCGAATTCCCTCTCTCGGGGGGGCATATTTTCGCACCCCCGCGCCAAGATTCGTATACCTATACACACTATAGCTCTCACTTGGCCGCGCGCTCGTGGTGTTTACAACTGCCCTCCTCCCTCTCTCGGGCTGTAGCGAGGAAAGCCCGCACAATTACCTCCGGGCTGAGAATAGGATTTACTCGCGCGAGCTAGTACATGTTTGACGAGCGATCCTCGCGTACGGGAGAGGCAATTTTTTATCTTTTGAAGAAAAAGAAAATAGAGAAAGATGTTCGTACTTGGCCCGAACGCCATTTACCAGCGCTCGGAAAATTCCGAAGATGCCAGCGAGGAGGAGGAGACGTCGGGCGACGTTATCCAGGTTGAAACGACGATCGGTTTCAATTATATATATATTGCACAAATTGTGTCACAACCGACCGATTAATTTTCTCTTCTTCTTCTATGTGACAGAGGAGGCGAGAGGAATGCGAGCGAAAGGCTCGACGGGGCGAAATGGATCCCCGATTGGAATTCACGTTTCAGCTGCTGATGGACGCCACGGGGCTGCCCCGTCACGAGGTGATGGATCACGTCTTCGAGGGCGACATGCTCGACGAGATCAATCAGCTGTTTCTGCCGCATATGAAAGCCACCCTCGTCTGGTTCTATCAGGAGGTCGAGGATCCGGAGATACCGCGATCGGGTGAAGCTGTAATTTTTTTTTATCAATTTCTCTTCTCACTTGTTTTCCAATGAATTAATCAAATTTTGTGCGACGTTTGTGCACAGAGCGTCGTGAAATCGAGCGGCGCGCGCCCACAGCAGAGCACGACAGCTACGAAGGGCAAGGACATCAAGGAGCCGAAGGATCCACCGAAAAAAAAATTATTTCTCACCGACGGATGGCAGGTGCCCTGTCGGGGCATCTGCATCTACATGTTCAGGATCAACATCTCCAAGCAGCTGCCCGAGGAGGGCTTCCACAAGGACCTCTACACGGGCGTGATCGACTGTCAGCGCGTCGGCATAATTCCCTACATACAGCGCGTCATCGAGCGGGTCTTCATGGACGCGCTGGCTCACCCGGGCGTGGAGGACGAGGACGACTGTCCCATGATCAAGAGCATACTTCTGCCGGGCCTGAGATCGTTTTGCAGCGCTCTCAAGGTGTGCGAGGAGGTGGCCCACGACGGCACGATATTCGACGACGGCCAGGCCATGATGGACGAGATCCAGGACGAGGAGAGCGCCAGAGCGTACATGGCCAATGACGCCGGGGCGGTGGAGCTGATCGAGGATCGGGTGCGTGGCTGGATCAAGAGGCTGAAGGACTTCATGCTCGAGAGCAAACAGGTGAGACGCGAGAGCGACAACTCGGGCCCGCAGCAGGAGCTCGAGTACTGGAAGAGACGAGGCTCGCAGTTCAGTCAGCTCGTTACTAGACTGCAGGTATTATTTTCGCTCTTTATTTTTTTTTTTTAAATTGTCGTCGAAATTATCTTTTATCATCGTTACTCTCGCAGGACAACGAGGTCAGAATGACGCTGCTGTGCCTGCAAGTCTCCAAGTCGAAGGTCCTGAAGGACTGGGAGGACATCGACGATGAGGTGACCTATTGCTTCAACGAGGCCAAGGACAACGCGAAATTCATCCAGGCGCTGGAGAAGTGCTGCCACTGTCTGTACCTCGACGACCCGGTGAAGATGCGAGACTCGCTGGTGTCGCTGCTGCAAACGGTACGGCTGATCTACAGCGTCTCGAGGTACTACAACACGTCGGAGAGGACGAGCTCGTTGATGGTGAAGATAACGAATCAGATGATAGCGGCTTGCCGAGATTACGTTACTATGCGGGGGAGAGAGACGGTTTGGGGTCAGGACAGGTCGGCCACGAGGCAAAAATTGAAGCACTGCTTGAGGCTCAATAAGTAAGGGAAAAATCTTTGCCTTTTTGTTTTATTGATTTTTCATGTGAAGAAATGTTAGAATAATTTTTTATTTACATCCTTATTTAGAAAATTTTACCGCAATGTTTTTATTACAGGGCGTACAGAGAGACGTACAGACTAGTTCGTTGCTCGCCTGCCATAACAGAAGAGGAGTTTATATTCTCGGAGACTCACGTGTTTGGTCGATTCGACTCGTTCTGCGCTAGGATACGAAAGATTCTAAGCATGTTCGATCTCATCGAGGATTATCAGAAATTGTTTGAGCGACGAATGGAAGGCCTTTTACTAGGCGAAGGTAAATGAATGAATAATTGTTGATGATTTTACTACTAATTTTTTTTTTGTCCAACGATCTATTAAAATGACCCGATGATAATTATCAAAGCATTGGACGAGACGATACGAACGTTTGAGGAGGCGAAAAAAGCGGCGACGAGCAAAAATTATGATTACCTGGATCCTCGTAATGCCGAATTCGATAGCGATTACGACACTTTCATGACCAAAACCGATTCGCTGAAAAAGAATGTCGGCTGCATAATAGAGAAAAATTACGCCGACGTCTGGGAAACGCCGCAAGGCATTCGTTTTTTGACTCGCTTCGAAAAGGCACGTTACCATTGCTTTTGAAGAAAAAAAAATTACCACGTATTCGAGTTAACTTTTTTCCTACATACATTGAAATAAAGGTCAGCGAAAAAATTCCATTGACCAAATTGGACGAGAAGTACAATCTAGTCGTCAAATATTGCGACAAAGAGATCGAGCGAAATCTCAAGCTATTCAAAAAGCAGAGGGACGACCCTCCGTTGCCGAGACACATGCCACCGATCGCCGGAAGAATAGCGTGGTCTAATTCTTTGAAGTAAGGAAATTTAATTTTTTTTTTATCACTTCAAATTTTTACTACTATTGCAATTTTTAATGTATTTTCAAGAATACATCTCGAAGAGCTAGCTCTGGCTGTTTCCAATCATCCTATTTTAAAAACATTACCGACCGCCGCTGACTTAGTTCGACGTTACAATCATGCTAATTCAGTAATACAACAATATCAATCGGATATTTCTGACATTTGGTCGAATCAAAATTCTTGGGTTATCGAGGATTGTCTAAAAAAGTAAATTCGCTACAACCAATATTTTCGCTTATATCTATCAAAACAATAAAAATCCCAAATTTCGCAGAAATCTACTGGCGGTCGAAGCATCAACGGGAAAAGTGCACGTCAACATAGAGAATCGACTGCTCCTACTTCTCCGCGAGTCCGACTGCCTGGCCAAGCTGAACTTCGAGCTGCCGATCGTCGCGAAAACGATACTGGCCAAGCGCGACCACTTCACCCTGGTCAAGGACTCTCTGCACCTGGTGCTGGAGGACTTCGTCGGCACGGCGAGGCGCGTCAAGCTCGAGGTGCGCCCGCTGCTGCTGCCGCACCTAGTGCGGGTGGCCTCGCTGCTGAGACCCGCTCTGGCGACCCTGACTTGGACCAAGCCCGAGTGGAAGGAGTTCACGGACGACACGCGCGAGCAGATCAAGCAGTTCGACATTCTCATAACGAGGGTGCACGACGTCTATACGAATAGGTAGGTGTGTATCGTAGAAACGCTCAACGTTGTTAAATTCATGGACTTTTTTTGGACAATTTTTCTGTTACAATTATTGAGCGTAATTTAAAGGACCCAAAAATGATATACTTCGTGTTTCAACCGCTAGATGGCGAGTACCTTTATTTACAAATCTGCAAGTGGCGAAACATATATAATTGTATAAGTCAGGCACAATTTTCTGATGTATTTTGATCCTCCTTGCTTGTTTTGTTTTATCTGGTGGAACTCGATACCATTCAGCAGCAAGATGCTAGTGAACTGAGCAGAGCAGTATCGTGCTAGTTCAAATTGTATTCAGTATACGGCACTCTATGATAATAATAAAAATTTATTTCTCTGTGTAGACTTTTTTATGAGCAACATGCTCACTGATGAAGAATATGAGTCGACAAGATTATATTCAAAAACCTCGTTTTACAAAACCACCACTTTTTAACAAAAAAAATGAAAAAACAGCGACAGACTAAATGTATTCAGAAGCTGATGCGCCTATTATAAGCTATATCATCTGTAACCTATATAACTTGATTATGATTACACGAGCACATGATAGTAAACACAATACGCAGAGTATACACAGGAAAATTAAATTTTTTTAATACCAAAAAGTGACCCGAAGTAGCATTATACCAAATAAAATTTGAGCTGACATAATGCGGCTCTGTGAATTGGCATCTTGTTACTAAAATTTTAATAATAATTTTTACGAATTTTATATAGTAAAAATCTCGTCATTATAAATAGCATAAAACAGAATTATTAATAAAATGTTGAACATTTCTACCATCGATATCTTTTCGATAAATTAAATTTACATTACGTCAATTCTTCCTCGCAGGATACTGCAAGTTTTAGCCAGCATGCAAAAAATAACACTTCACGCGCTGCCCGAGGACGAGCCCTGGAGTATCGAGGAGTTCGTTGAGAAAAACGAAGAAACGTGCCGAGTAGCCGCCGTGGATCTGCACAGAAAGAGCCTCATGGTCGAGGAAGCCGTGGAAGAAGTTTTGGCGCTCGTCAAGAGCGCCGCCGAGAAGTTCAAAACTTCCGACGACTCGGAGCAATTTTTCTTCTTCGATAGCAGCGGTAGGCGCTCATAACGCGACGAGCTTACGATACATTTTCGACACATTTTACGACATTTCATATTTAACAACTTTTGCAGATACCCAAGAATCGATCGAGGCCACGCAGCAGCAAGACTGGTCGATAGTCTGGGCTTGCTTCGACAATCCGTATCAGCTGCTCTCCACGCCGTCGGGCACCCTGTCGAAGGGCATGCAAGACATGGTGCGCAACGCCGTTTCCGAGATGCGTCGGTACTACTCGAGAAAAGTCGTGGACGTACTGATCAAGGTGACGAAGTCGTCTCTGGATTCGATGAGACGACGATTCTCCCGCGAAACTACAGAAGGTATTTTTTCATATATCAAAGTAAAAGCGATCAATTTACCAATATTCACACTTTTTCAAGGAGAAGTCGTACGTCCGGTTTTTCTCTTGAACGCCACCCTCATGATACCGTCGGTACTGGTGAAGCCGAATCTCGACGAGGTGCAAGAGGCCCTCGTGGCGAGCGGCAAGCACGTGACGGGGGTGGCCAAAGGCGTCGCTCAGTGGGACAGCGGCAAGGACGGCAAGAGCGACAAGGTGACGTGGCGATCGACGCCCTGGGCTCCGAAGCGAAACCTGCTGGACGTCGTCACCCGGGCGCAGATGGAGGCCCAGAGACGCCAGCAGGACGCCAACGAGGATCCGAAGAGTCGTCGTCGGCGACTCTACAAGGTCGTCTCAGAGGAGAAGCCGACGTTCCCGGTGCAGAAGCGTAATTTCCACACCATGATCATGGACAATAAGGAGATCATCAAGATGTTCTCGATTCTCGGCACTTGCGTTCAAGCGTTTCGACAGGTATGGAATATATTATATCCAAGCTGGGTATGGATAATGCATCGACTGATACTTTAGGATTTGTCTGAGTTTCTCGAGCGTTGGAAACTCTACAATTTTCTCTGGCAAAACGAGCGCAGCGTGCGAGAGCTGCTGCAGATATCGCTGACCGAGTTCGAGAGCACGCTGAGGAAGCACGGCGAGCTCGAAGCCAAGCTGGCGACCGAACCGGACATGATAGTGTTCGGCTCGTCCATCGCCGTCTCCACCGAGAAGCTCAAGTACGGCCTGTTTACGGAAATAAAAAGTGAGTATACTCGTCGTGAGCTAAATGAAATTACAAAACATAAGCGTTGCCAGATTTTTACGGACGATTATAAAAATCGGAAATTTCTTTTGCACTTGGGTGTTTACGATACTCCATCTGTCGGCGAAATGAAAAAGCTCACATTTTGCTGTAGAAATCAGAAACACAATAGAAAAGAGCGAAAGAGAATAAAAAGGATCGAACTAGTAAAATTTAATTTTCTTTTTTGCGTCCTGTAGAAAACTTGACATTTTCGAAGACGTACGGAAATTCTGAGCAAGCATTTTACGAGAATTTGTGAATTTTTTTATTTCGACATTCAGCACAATATTTTATAAATAATTATGCTGGATGCAAATTTAAAAGTTACAATTGCAGTAGAGAAAAATATTGAATACATTGGATCTAACTACAGTAATAGTGGGAACAACTACATATAAGCACCGGACAAACATGTCGTCATCTATCTCCCTAACGTTAAAAAATTTTAACAATAATATTTTAAACGTTAATATTTTGTTAACAAACAAAATTTTGTAATTAAATAATAAATGTACAGTTAAATTAAAGACATATACATGCATGTATATTGAAGGAGGAGAGGCTGTAAGGCAAGCGAAACTTCGCGTTAAACTCGCGTCCCTGATGAGCTTCGGATTTCACCGCTAGATGTCATAATCGAATCCAAACGTAAACAAAATATATTTCTGTACTTATCAACATTCTGTATCTATCAACATTCAGGTGAATGGCTATTAATTCATTGTACAATGCTCATGGACAAAACTGAAAATATCATAGAAATCAAAAAATACGAGTAGTTTAATAGAAATCGCAACCGATCAACCCGTGCACCATTGCGGAGTTCGTTGCGTTGACGAAATCAATCGCTACACCTGCGAGTCCGAGCCTGGATTCACCGGACAGCACTGCGACATCGACGAGTGCGGCTCGAATCCGTGAGCCGATGGGGGCCGCTGCATCGATCTCGTCAATGGCTATCGCTGAGGATATTTTGCACGAGATTGTCATAGCCGGAGTTGCGTGACTCGTTTTTGTTTTTTAAGAATCTCTTTCGATCGTTGCACGCACTGTGTAAAAAGTGGCTTATCTCATTGTGAATCTTGAGTTAATTAATAAATATTGGCATAAAAGGATTTCATAAAAAGTACGATCTCGAACTTCCCATAAAAATTTTTGGATTAATATGTTTCCAGGCGCCACTCACAAAATTGGCCAAGCCATCAAGAAAAAGTATCGTCGCGAGATGGAATACGTTTACGCCGTAATGAGTGAGATGGAAAGGAAATTAGATAGGCAGATACGCGATTTGGACGACGTGAAAGTCATCATGGAAACTTTGAGGAAAATCCGAGAACAAGAGGTCGACATGGAGCTGAAAATCGAGCCCATCGAGGAGGCATTCAACATCGTGACGAGATACGAGGTACCTGTTGATCGGGAATGCCTCGAACAAGTAGACAACTTAAGGTATAAAATAATAAGATTAAGTTATCTCTCTGCTAGAAATTCTAAACATTCAATCTGTCAAAAATGAATTTAAGGATCTATAGAATAGTTACAAAGTTATGAATTTTTTTATCGGTTTTAAAATGTTTCTTTAAATAAAAAAATTTTTTTTATTTTTTCTTGCATAAATGAAGTAATTTTTAGAATTTTTCGTGGAATTTTTTCTTCCAGCACCGATGGTTGACGTATAATTAGTTTCTATTTAAGATTTCTATTTTAAATTTAACATCAAGCATGCTCCGTATCCTGTGGATACAGAATTAGATTGTATATTGGGATTTTTATACCTCGCGGCGACTGCAGTGAGATGAACCTTAATCAAGTGCCATAATTTTTTAAACGAAATTTCTGATCAATTTATGATTTTACTTATACAATTATTTTGACTTAGCCACTTGCAGATTTACAAATATAAAGATATTCGCCATCTAGTGTTGAAGCCAAAAATAGTATTATCGAGTTGACAAAGTTTAAAACTAGTCTAAATTTATTGAAATAATGAAATTATCATTTTAGATCTTTTAAAAAGCACTTGATATTTGTTACTTTACTGTATCAGATACCCAAGTAAAAAAAGGTTATACATTTTGTATACATTTTGTATATTGGCGATGTATACAGTTTGTATACATTTTGTATACATTTAATTTTTACAAAAATTAAATACAAACTTCAAAAATTTTATTTAATTTTTCAAAAATAACGTAGAACGTAGAAGATAACATGAAATTACGTAAAATAACATGATATAACGTGAAACATCGTGAAATAACTTTGAGGAAAGGGAATGCGTCTATTTGCCCGTATTTTTTTTTCAATCGTTTTTTGTCTCATGGTGTGTTTAAGAGATTGTTGGTCCATGTGAGGCCATCCTTTCAATTGCGCCCAAGCAAGCGTATAGTCTATAAATAAATATTATTTTTACTACTTTTTCAAAAAAAAAAATTGAAATACTTACTTAGAATACTTTGTACGGCGGCTTGATTCAAACCAGGTTTCTTATCGTCGCTATCGTTTTTCCCTTTACCTCCAACCGAGCAACTAGCTAACGCCGATGGCTCAAAAATCTTTTCCATTAGAGCTCGAGCAAAAAGTGTTTGCTTTTCCAGCGTTTGTTGAATTTGTTTCAAGTCCGTACACTTGATATAAATTTTTGTGTTAGGCTCCAATTCCATCAACTAAAAAATATATAAAAATTTAATACATCATTTTTAAATAATCAAAAACTTCTTGAAATCACATCCTCTCTTTTTTCCGAATACAAAAGCGTCCACAGTCCTTGAGAGTCTCGATATGTAGAATCATTACAGTTGGCTAGAGATGATGCTGTGGAAGATTGACCGTATGTGTTTTTTTCCACTTTGATCTTTTTATTCGGACAAATGTATTTCGAGGCGTCCGAAATTTTCTTAAAATTGCTTGTATCTTCATCATCGCAAGAAATTATGTAAATACTTCTTTTTTTTAAATTGCTCTTCTTGATACAATCGTTCTGAAAAATAAATTTTTTTATTTTAAAACATATAAAACAGTTTAAAAAATAAATAATTTGTGTCATAAGTAAACAAACTAATTTCAAGTCTTCATCCGATGAATTTTCATTCGTTGAGAACATACTTTTATAATTCAAACTTGGCTTTGGCGATCTATCATTTTCATTTTGGAAATCTTCAATCGGTTGAAAATTCTCTTGATTTTCGTTATCCTAAATTAAAAAAAAATGATTCATGGCAGACAATATAAAATTTAAAGCAAAAATGATAAATTGCTTAAGTTCAATTTGAATGTTGGAAGAAGAAAATTTTACGTTGAACAATGGCATATCATACGATCGCCTTTTAACATTATCAGTAAGACCAATACTCTTCGTTTTTAAATTTTCTCTGGATGGACGATCTTTATTTTGAAAATTCTAAAAGGAATTTTAAATTGAAAAAAGTATATATATTACAGGATAATTTTAGAAAAAAATAATTTCTCTCACATCTACTCTTGCCTCGCACAAAGGCATGTTATAAGATCTTCGTTTGGCTGATCTATTGTCCACACATTCAGGGGATTCTTTTTCAATCAAACAATCTTCCTTAATACTTCGAGTTTTAATATTTTCCCTGGATGGACGATCTTTTTTTTGAGAGTTTTAAAAGAAATTCAAAATTGATAAGAGTAAATATATTAAAGGATAACTTTAGAAAAAAATAATATAGTCGTCAAAAACATCATTTTTATTTCTCGCCTATTCTAACGAGTCAAATTTTCAGGTACACGTGGCAGCAGATCCAGACCCGAGCCCTGAACAGTCATATCCAGCTGCTCAATCTGCAGCCGCAACTGGAGCAGGAGCTGCGCGCCAATCTGGAAAAATTTCGCGTCGACAACGAGGCCTACTGCGAGGAGTATCGCACCTCGGGTCCGATGCAGGCCGGCTTGACGCCGCGCGAGGCCTCGGATCGCCAGATACTGTTTCAGAATCGCTTCGACGGCATGTGGCGCAAATTGCAGGCCTACCAGAGCGGCGAGGAGCTGTTCGGGCTGCCCATCACGGATTATCCCGAGCTAACGCAGATCAGAAAGGAGCTGAATCTGCTGCAGAAGCTGTACAAACTTTACAACGACGTGATCGATCGAGTCAGCAGTTACTACGACATACCTTGGGGCGAGGTGAACATCGAAGAGATCAACAACGAACTGATGGAATTCCAAAATCGATGCCGAAAATTGCCGAAAGGATTGAAAGAGTGGCCGGCCTTCTTCGCTCTGAAGAAAACGATCGACGACTTCAACGACATGTGTCCTCTGTTGGAACTGATGGCCAACAAAGCCATGAAACCGCGTCACTGGCAGCGAATCGTGGAAGCCACGAATCACGTGTTCGATCTCGAGAGCGAAGGATTTTGTCTGAAAAATATCTTGGAGGCACCTCTGCTGAAGCACAAGGAAGATATCGAAGATATTTGCATATCGGCGATGAAGGAAAAAGACATCGAGGCGAAACTTAGACAGGTCGTCAACGAATGGTCGACTCACGAGTTGACTTTTATGACGTTCAATAATAGAGGAGAGTTGCTTCTTCGAGGCGATACAACAGCTGAAACTATTGGACAATTGGGTAAAGTTTAAACGTTCATCTTTTTTTGTACGAATTTTAACTAATTATATTTATTGCACAGAGGACAGCTTAATGATATTGAGCTCTCTGATGTCGAATCGTTACAACGCACCGTTTCGCAAGCAAATTCAACAGTGGCTCGGCGATCTGTCCAACACCAACGAGATCCTCGAGCGGTGGCTGCTCGTCCAGAACATGTGGGTTTACCTGGAGGCCGTGTTCGTGGGCGGCGACATCGCCAAGCAGCTGCCCAAGGAGGCCAAGCGTTTCAGCAAGATCGACAAGAGCTGGCAGAAGATCATGCAGAGAGCCCACGAGACCCCGGGCGTGGTGCCCTGCTGTGTGGGCGACGATCTGCTCAAGCAGCTGCTGCCTCATCTGCAAGAGCAGCTCGAGCTGTGCCAGAAATCTCTCAGCGGCTACCTCGAGAAGAAACGCATGATGTTTCCGAGATTCTTCTTCGTGTCGGATCCGGCTCTGCTGGAGATTTTGGGCCAGGCGTCGGACTCGCACACGATTCAGAATCACCTGCTGTCCATCTTCGACAACACGAGATACGTCAAGTTCCACGACATCGAGTACAACAAGATCACTGCGATCATCTCGTCGGAGGGCGAGACGATTCAGCTGGAGCGAGCGGTGAGGGCCGAGGGCTCGGTCGAGACTTGGCTGATGCAGCTGCTGCTGACCTCTCAGCAGTCGCTGCACTCGATAATCCGACAGGCGCATACGACCATCAACGATCAGAACTTCAATCTGCTGAACTTTCTGGAAAAGATGCCGGCCCAGGTGGGCATCCTCGGCATACAGATGGTCTGGACGCGGGACTCGGAGATGGCGCTGCTACAGGCGCGCGCCGACAAGCGAATAATGGGCGAGACGAACAATCGATTCCTGGAGCTGCTCAACACCCTGATCGATCAGACGACCCGAGACCTATCGAAGATCGACAGGATCAAGTTCGAGACGCTGATAACGATAGACGTACATCAGCGCGACATCTTCGACATGATGTGCCGTTTGAACGTGCGATCAGTCAACGATTTCGAGTGGTTGAAGCAGTGCCGCTTTTACTTCAAGGAAGATCTAGACAAGACAATGGTGTCGGTCACGGACGTGCAGTTCGTTTATCAAAACGAGTACTTGGGCTGCACCGAACGTCTCGTTATCACACCTCTGACCGATCGGTGAGTTGAAAGAAAAAATCGATTTTGAAAATCTCGATGTTGATATTGGGCTAATGACCAATGTTTTAAAATGCTATTATCTTTAAGAAATTCAGTACATTTTAAATTATCTGTAAATTACAATTTATAATTAAATTGACATTGTACATTTTAAATGTAAATAATTAAAAATAACTATTGAAAGAATGCTAAGAAAAAACAATTGAACCGAATTAAATTTTTTCCCAGCTGCTACATAACTCTCGCCCAGGCGCTGTCGATGTCGATGGGCGGCTCGCCCTGCGGACCCGCCGGCACGGGCAAAACCGAGACGGTCAAGGACATGGGCAAGACACTGGCCAAGTACGTCGTGGTGTTCAATTGCTCGGATCAGATGGATTATCGGGGTCTGGGCCGCATCTACAAGGGACTGGCGCAGAGCGGCTCCTGGGGCTGCTTCGACGAGTTCAATCGCATCGAGCTGCCGGTCCTGTCGGTGGCCGCCCAACAGATCGCCGTCGTTCTGGCCGCCAAGAAGGAAAAGAAGAAGCAGTTCACCTTCACCGACGGCGATCTCATCGACATGTATCCGGAGTTCGGTATCTTCATAACGATGGTACTGGACAGTGTCGGAAATTAATTTAAAAAGTCGGTCTTTAAATGAAAAAGCATCTCTCGACTGTTTTTAGAATCCAGGCTATGCCGGGAGAAAAGAGTTGCCGGAAAATTTGAAGATACAATTTCGTACTGTGGCCATGATGGTCCCGGACCGACAGATCATCATACGCGTGAAGCTGGCCAGCTGTGGATTCTTAGAAAACATCACCCTGGCTCGAAAATTTTACACCTTGTATAAACTGTGCGAGGAGCAGCTTACGAAGCAGGTGCATTACGACTTCGGTCTGAGAAATATCCTGTCGGTTCTGCGCTCGCTCGGAGCCGCCAAGAGAACCAATTCCAAGGATTCCGAGAGCACGATCGTCATGAGAGTCCTGAGAGACATGAATCTGTCGAAACTCATAGACGAGGACGAGCCGCTGTTCATATCGCTGGTGGCCGATCTGTTCCCGAATCAGGCGCTGGAAAAGACGGCCTATCCGGAGCTGGAGGCGGCCATCGAGAAGCAGGCCCACGAGGACGGCCTCGTGTATCATCCGCCCTGGGTGCTGAAGCTCATTCAGCTGTACGAGACGCAGAGAGTGAGGCACGGCATCATGACTCTGGGTCCGACCGGAGCCGGCAAAACGACCTGCATTCAGACCCTCATGAAGGCTCTGACTTCGCTGGGCGACGCGCACAAGTGAGTTTTTTACTCGGAAGAAAATAAATCAGAAATAAATGTATGCAGTGAATGAAAATTTTTTAATTAGTCTTCTGAATAGATGCACTACATCGTGTATCGAGATTTTTTACACAAAAGTGAATATAAATTGTATAAATGTTACGAGTCATTAGATGCGCGAGGGATGCGCCACATCCACATGGGCCTTGAGAGTTCCTCTCTTTCCGAATATCTTGTCGCACTTCTCGCACGCGTAAGAGCGACCCTTGTGCGACGATTTGAAGTGCCTGCAGAGACCGGATGGTTTGTTGAATATTTTTCCGCACAAATTACATTGTGTGATTATTTTATCGCTCGCCGTGCCGATGCGAACTTCCACGGTCTCCTTTTCTCTCGGTGCTTTTCGACTCGCATCAAGATTGGGCGAGAAAATATTCATTTTCTCATCGAGTTCTCTGGAAATTTCACTGTCGTGGCTACATTTTTCATCTTGACGATTTTTCTGATGAAGTTCGCAGTCGATTTTCGCGATCGAACCTTTTGCTTCATCACTGGAAATTTCTTTCTTTGCTGCCCCTGCACTTTCTGCTTTGATCACTTTTTTATTTTCACGATCGTCGCTGCATTTGACATCTTGACGATTTTCCTTACCAAGTATAGAGTCAAATATCGTGATCGAACTTTTTGCCTTGTCGCTGAAAATGTCTCGTTTTACCGACTCTGCAGTTTTTACTTTGTTTGGGTTTTGATTTTCACGATCGTCGCTGCACTTTATATTTTCACAATGATTTTTGGAATGATCTTCTACTTTTGTAAGCGTTAATACATCCCCATTGAGCTTCACGTCTTTACTTTTATTAGACTTAATTCGCAAGTCATCATGATTTTCATTGTACTTTCGAAGCGGTCGAACCTGTAATAAAATTATATATAAGTAATTTTTTAAAAAATTGCAATTATCGTCGTATTCAATCATCAACACTTACCGAATTTTTAATATCCCGGGTATTGATAATTATATTAAGATCATTATTTTCAGTTAACACTCTGAGGGGGTCTTTTTTGATTCTGAAATAATTCAAATATCATTAAGTACTATTCTACTGTGTTTTAAAAGTCTTGCTCATAATAAATAAAAAAATTACCTGAGCGCACGGGTAGATACACTGCTTGGCTCCATGTTTCTCGCTTCGAATCTCGAGAAGGATTGATTTTTCTCTAGCGATGATACACGTCAAACCAACTAACTTTTATTTACGTACATTTCGAATAATGTAAACAAAGCAACGTAAACTCATTACATACGATCGGAGAAAATAAATTATCGAACCAGCTTTATGAACAGAATTGATTTTATTTCTAAATAAAATAATATTTCATCGCAAAAAAATGATTTCAGAGAGATGCGAATGAACCCGAAGAGCATAACGTCCGCGCAGATGTTTGGACGTCTCGACGTCGCGACGAACGACTGGACCGACGGAATTTTCTCGGCTCTCTGGCGCAAGACCCTCAAGTCCAAGCCGGACGAGCACATCTGGCTGGTGCTCGACGGCCCGGTCGACAGTATCTGGATCGAGAATCTCAACTCCGTCCTAGACGACAACAAGACGCTCACGTTGGCCAACGGCGATCGTCTGCCCATGGCTCCCACCTGCAAGATAATCTTCGAGCCGCACAACATCGACAACGCCAGCCCGGCGACGGTATCGCGCAACGGCATGGTCTACATGAGCTCCTCGGGGCTTGACTGGGAGCCCGTCGTCACGGCCTGGATCAAGAGCCGTTCGGCCATGGAGCAGGAGGTGTTCGAGTCCTGCTTTCAGGAGTCGTTCGCGCAGGTCTACGCGTGGAGCGCCCAGTCGTTGGTGCTGGCGATCAACGTGCTGCAGTGCAACGTGATACGACAGATGCTGTGCCTGTTGGAGGGACTGATTCCACCGCCCGTGGAGGAGGACGATCAGCCGAAAGAGTTGGAGATCGAGGACGACGCGGAGATGAACAAACCCGTACCGATGACTCCGGAGCATCTGCGACGCTTCTACGTGTTCGCCCTGATCTGGGGCATCGGAGCACTGCTGGAAAAGAGCGGCAGATCCAAGTACGACGCTTATTTGAAAGAAAACTTCAAAAGTCTCGATCTACCCTGCCCGGAGGAAAATTCCCAAGCGTCGATCTTCGACTTCTTTGTCAACGACAAGGGCAAGTGGGACCAGTGGTCGAGCCTGCTGACCAGCTACGTCTATCCGGAGTCGGCCACGCCCGACTTCAGCAGCATCCTCATACCCATACCGGACAACGTGAAGATCGAGTACCTGATCCACCTGATCGGCAAGCAGGACGGCGCGGTGCTGCTCACGGGCGAGCAGGGCTCCGCCAAGACCGTCATGATGAAGAACTACACGCGCAAGGCCAATCCCGAGACGACCCTCAATCGGTCCTTCAACTTTAGCTCGGCCACCACTCCCTTCCAGTTTCAGAAGACCATCGAGAGCTACGTGGAGAAGCGCATGGGCAGCACCTTCGGGCCGGCGGGCGGCAAGAAGATGCTCATCTTCATCGACGACATCAATCTGCCGGAGATCAACGAGTGGGGCGATCAGATAACGAACGAGATCGTACGCCAGACGATGGACATGAAGGGCTTCTACTCGCTGGAGAAACCGGGAGATTTCACGACGATCGTCGACGTCACGTTCATGGGTGCCATGGGTCAGCCCGGTGGCGGTCGCAACGACATACCCTCTCGGCTGAAGCGTCAGTTCTGCATCTTCAACTGCACCATGCCCGACGACGAGTCGATCGATCGGATCTTCACGGTGCTCGGACTCGGCCACTACAACGCCAAGCGAGGCTTCTCCGCGGAGGTGCGCGAGCTGGTCAAGAATCTCGTCTCCATCACGAGGATCCTGTGGCAGAACACGAGGATCAAGCTGCTGCCGACCCCGGCCAAGTTCCACTACGTCTTCAATCTGCGAGATCTGTCGAGAGTCTGGCAGGGCATGCTCGGCACTCTGTCCACGGTGTTCGATCAAGAAGGTGTGCTGATGCTGCTCTGGAGGCACGAGTGCGAGCGAGTATTCAGCGACAGATTCACCCATCAAGAGGACAAGGACTGGTACGCCCAGGAGTTGATCAGCATTGTGAAGGATAAATTGGGAGAGTCTTACGTGGACATGATATCGAATAGTCCTGCGTTCGTTGATTTTATGAGGTAAGGTACACCGTGGAACATATTTCACTTCGTATAAAATATTTAAAATTAATGTGATTTGAATTAAATTTTAAGTAATTTTTTATGAATCGTTGTACATGATCGTTTTACATCAAATTTAATATAAAAACTCGATTAAAATCACATTTAATTCTTTTCGACACAAATAAATTCATTCAAATAGTTGAAGGGGAAAAATTCCTCCATCCTTGCATTAATTTTCATGCAGTTTTTTTTCATTTCCTACATTTCAAGTGTAAGATGTAGATCAAATTAAATTCAATTCAATTTGAATTTAATAGTATGATTGTTAATTTTTGTACTTGAAGATTCATTCAATTATGTCGGGTTCATTACCAACAGTATCAATTTCCAAAACTTTCTGAAATTTAACTTATATAACTGTTTTATAATAAAGTAAGTATACATGACATTGATCAAATATATTTCGTTTGACGCGAGAGGAAACCCAGATTGTGTTGATAATTTCCTATTTGAAACCGTGCTTTGATTTATCCTATTATTTTTACTTTGTCACTTGCAGATTTACGTATGAATGGTACTCGCCATCTAGCGGTTAATTCTGGCTTTAATTTTGATTGAATTCTCATAAATCTTTTGAGACATAAAAGCAAAAACTAAACCTGTATTGAAACATTAATTTTTAATCAAATTGTTTAAATGTAAGTGCACAAATAAGGTGTACGACTGCGTTTTCATGCATTTTTTACCATTTATGTTAAAAAATAAATCGTTATCATGCAGGCGTTTTCAACGAAGATTTCATGTAAAACTACCGTAAATAAAATTCAGTATCCCTTACTTTCATTTTAATATCTGATCTTTCATCAACTCCGTATAAAATTAAAGTTTTTTCAAGTCTGTACACCCTAAATCAACCAATAACGATCTTATAATTCATCGTATACAGAGACGCCCCCGAGCCTACGGGCGAGGAGGGCGAGGACGCGGACATGGAGCTGCCGAAGGTCTACGAGCCCGTGTTCGAGCACCAGGTGCTGCGCGATCGCCTGGAGATGTTTCTGGCGCAGTACAACGAGATGCAGCGAGGCGCTGGCATGGACCTGGTCTTCTTCCCCGACGCCATGCTCCACCTGGTCAAGATATCGCGGGTCATCAGGCATCCTCGCGGAAACGTCATGCTCGTGGGCGTTGGCGGTTCGGGCAAGCAGAGTTTGACCAAGCTCTCGTCCTTCATCGCCGGCTACAAGACCTTCCAGATCACCCTGACCAGGTCGTACAACGTGGCCAACTTCCTGGAGGACTTGAAGTTTCTGTACAGAGCTTGCGGTGGACAGGGCAAGGGCACGACCTTTCTCTTCTCCGATCTGGACATCAAGGAGGAAGGCTTTCTCGAGTATCTGAACAACATCCTGAGCTCGGGAGTCATCAGCAATCTCTTCACCCGCGACGAGCAGGCGGAGATAATTTCCGAGCTGACTCCGATCCTGAAGCGCGAGAATCCCAAGAAGACGCTCAACAACGAGATCATCATGGAACACTTCCTTCAGAGAACCTGCCAGAATTTGCACGTCGTATTCTGCTTCTCGCCCGTGGGCGAGAAATTCCGCAATCGAGCTCAGCGCTTCCCAGCCCTCATCTCCGGCTGCACCATCGACTGGTTCCAGCCGTGGCCTCGGGACGCCCTCGTGCTCGTCGCCGAGCACTTTCTGCACGACTTCGAGATCGCCTGCAGCGCCTCGGTCAAGAACGAGCTCGTCAACGCTCTGGGCTCGATCCAGGACATCGTGGCGGAAAACTCGGTGGAGTACTTTCAGCGATTTCGTCGGGCCACCCACGTAACGCCCAAGTCCTATCTGAACTTCATTGGCGGCTACAAGAACATCTATCGGATGAAGCAGTTCGAGCTCGGCGAGGGGGCGCGACGCATGGACACGGGTCTGGCCAAGCTCGAGGAGGCCTCCATATCCGTGGAGATCTTAAAGCAGGATCTAGCCGAGATGGAGAAGGATCTGGTGCAGGCCTCGGAGACGGCGGAGACCGTGCTGGTCGAGGTCACGGAGCGAGCGACCCAGGCCGAATCCTTCAAGAATCAGGTGCAGAAGGTCAAGGAGAAGGCCGAGCAGTTGGTGGCGTGCATCGCCGAGGAGAAGGGCGTGGCCGAGCAGAAGCTGGAGGCGGCGAAGCCGGCCCTGGAGGAGGCCGAGGCGGCCCTGAACACCATCAAACCGGCGCACATCGCGACGGTGCGAAAACTTGGCCGACCGCCCCACCTGATCATGCGGATAATGGACTGCGTGCTGATACTGTTTCAACGCAAGATCAGTCCTGTGATACCGGACGTCACGACTCAGTGTCCCAAGCCGTCCTGGGCCGAGTCCCTCAAGATGATGGCCAGCGCCACGTTCCTGCTGCAGCTGCAGAACTACCCCAAGGACATCATCACCGACGAGATGGTCGAGCTGCTGCAGCCCTACTTCAAGATGGAGGACTACAACATGGAAACGGCGCGGCGGGTCTGCGGCGACGTCGCCGGTCTGCTGTCCTGGACCAAGGCCATGTCGTTCTTTCACTCGGTCAACAAGGAGGTTCTTCCGCTGAAGGCCAATCTGACTCTGCAGGAGGCGAGACTGAAGGTGGCCATGGACGACTTGGCCGAGGCCGAGCGAGAGCTGTCGGATCGAGAGATGGCGCTGCAGGCCGTTAAATGTATGATTTTTTATGAAATAATAATTAAGCATGGAATAAACTTACCGATGCTCGAACACCGCACGCTATTATTTGAATGGATAGCAATCAAATGAATTTTCGTTGTGTTTAATGTTTGTTTTTCAATTAAATTTTTGACTTGCTATTAGATTTTTTTTTAATTTTTTCAAGACTATTGTTCATTCTTTTTTTGAACTTTGAAAAAATTTTCTTCTTTCACATTTTGATACTTTCAGTTAATTAATTTTTAAGAAATTTTGCTTCTGATAAACAGCTAACTTGATATTTTTAAAGTTTTCTACCCCTGCGAGAGAAGGAAATATCCCTACGATTATCTATGATCCTCGGCGTTCACAAACGCAAGAGCATATACCAGTGCAGAGGCGGATATTGGAGCACGCCGGGCTCCAAATGTTAGAATGAATGTCACGAATTTTAATAATTTTAAACTGGTTCGAATTTGGAAGGAGAGCATATAAACATAGATAAATACGATCATAACCGGTTTTCACATTGTCCTATAAACAATTATCGTGTTTATACTAAAAACAAATAAGTTAAATATCTTGAAATTAGTAGAATTGCTTTTCCCGAACAAGTCATAGATAAATTTTACTCATTACATTTCCATAGCGCTGAATAAAAGAATCCTTTGTCCAATTTAGGCACCAAAAATGGATGAAAGTGAAAAGAAATTTGACGAAGTCGTTTTAAAAAATGATTTAAATGAACACGACATTGTTGTTTCGAACGAAAAACAACACGTTTGTAACATTTGTCAAGAAATATTCACACAAGAATCAAGCTTGATAACACACCGAAACACAATTCACAATGATCAAATAGAATACCCATATAACCAGTGTAAGAAGAAATTTGTGGAAATATCAATTTTGTTTGCACATCAAAAATTCGAACACGAAAATCGCAAAAATTTTGCATGCGACCAGTGCGAGGAGATATTTGTGAAAAATTCGAGTTTTATTGCGCATCAAAAATTAGTACACAAAGATCGTGAAGATATCACATGTGACAAATGCCAGAGAAAATTTGAAAATAAATCAACTTTACTCAAGCATAACAAAATTTTCCACGAAGTTTTCAAAAATTACTTATGTGAATTGTGCGCGAAAAGCTTTGATACTAAACATAATTTGCTCTTGCACATAACAATAGTCCATGAGGGTCGCAAAGATCACACATGTGATAAATGCAGGAAAAAATTTGGACGAAAAAGGGAGTTGCTCACTCATCAAAAATCAGTCCATGAACGTCGCAAAGATTTTGAATGCAACAAGTGCGAGAAAAAATTTGGAGACAGAAGAAATTTGAGCAAACACCAAAAAATCGTACACGAAGGTCAGAAAAATTTAGCCTGTGAAAAGTGCGAGAAGAAATTTGGGAAAAACAATGATTTAAGTAAACATCAAAAAACAGTCCATGAAGGTCGCAAAGATTTTGAATGCAACAAGTGCGAGAAAAAATTTGGACATAAGCAGCTAATGCTCAGACATCAAAAGACAGTCCATGAGGGTCGCAAAGATTATGAATGTGACAAGTGCAAGAAGAAATTCGGAATTAATTGTGTTATGTTGAGGCACCAAAGGATTGTACACGAAGGTCGCAGAGATCATGCATGCGACAAGTGCGAAAAGAAATTTGGAATGCGCAAATCTTTGATCGTACATCAGAAAACAGTACACGAGGGTCGTAAAGATTTTGCATGTGATATGTGCGAGAAGAAGTTTGGACACAAATCGGTTTTGTTTTTTCACCAAAGAACAGTCCATGAAGGTTGCAAAGATTACACATGTCAAAAATGCCAAATGAAATTTGGAAAAAAATGGACTTTGCTCTTACACCAAAAGACAGTACATGAAGATCGCAGAGATTTCGCATGCGACAAATGTGAGAAAAAATTTGGACGGAAACAGCATTTACTAAACCACCAAAAGATAGTACACGAGGGTCAAAAAGATTACAAATGCGACAATTGCGAGAAGGCATATGGAACAAAATCGCAATTGCTCTTCCACCAAAGGATAGTGCACGAATGTCAGAGGAATTTCGCGTGTGACAAGTGTGAGAAGAAATTTGGAACGAAACAGAATTTGAGTTTACACCAAAACGCGATTCACGAAGGTCGCAAAAATTTTGCTTGCGACAAATGCGAGAAAAAATTTGGAACAAAAAGGCAAATGCTTACTCACCAAAAGACAGTCCACGAAGGACATCCACTTTCCAACTTGAAGTGAATTCGAATAACTTCGTTTTTCTTCTGGGCGTTATTTCATTTTGCTTCGTTTTTATTCGAAGAAATTTTTCAATTATCAACATTTCTCTTTGTAAGAAAATCCTCACTATAAATTCACTATAATTTTTATCTACCGTTCATATTGCATTCTTGAAGTAAATGAGAATAATTTTCAAGAAGTATAAAAAAGACTATGAAAAAGAGTTTCATTAAGAATAAAACAATAATTTGGTGTTATTTTCGAACTGTAGCATCGTATCAATATACTATACATTGAAAATCTTAGAAATAAAACACAAAAAAATATAATTGAATTTTAATAATTTCCTTTGTTTTTTTTCACTTCGATTGTAGCATTTGTTATTGAACAAAAAGACTCAGAATAGTTGTTATTTTATCTTCAATAAATATTATTAATTTCCAGGTAAATGTTTCAATTCAATTTTTTAGAACGAAAATAGCTTCCACCTGCCAACAAATACACGTACGCTCATTTATAATGCTTTTGAACTTCGTAACTAAAAATATAAGCAAGTTCTAAGTTCATGACATTCATAGTTCAGTAGGATGGTGGACAACTAGACATTTAGCATTTTTAACCTTCCAAATTTTTTTTCCAGAATTTTCGATCAGAAAATGTCAAAATGAATACTACAAACTTTTACAATTTATGTCCAAAATCCCAAATAATTCCTCGAAGAGATTGTTAACAAATTAAAATTCTAAACTAGTTCGAATTTGGAAAGAGAACATATAAACATAGATAAACATGATAATGAACGGGTTTCATCTCATAAACAATGACCATGTTTGTAATGAAAACAAATAAGTTTGATATCTTAAAATTAGTAGAATTGTTTTTCCTGATGAAGCAAGCCGTAGATAAAATTTACTCATTCAATTTCCATAGCTTTGGATAGAAAAATCCTTTGTCCAATTTAGGCACCAAAAATGGATGGAAGTGAAAAGAAATTTGACGAAGTCGTTTTAAAAAATGATTTAAATGAACACGACATTGTTGTTTCCAACGAAAAACCACACGTTTGTAACATTTGTCAGGAGATATTCACAACAGAATCAAGCTTGATAATACACCGAGAAACAATTCACAATGTAAAAAAAGATTTTGCATGCGACAAGTGCGAAAAGAATTTCGAGTTCCGAAGTCATTTGAGTAGACACCAAATATCAGTACACAAAAGTCGCAAAGATTTTTTATGCGACCAGTGCGAGAAGATATTTGTGAAAAAATCGAGTTTGATTGCGCATCAAAAATTAGTACACAAAGAACGTGAAGATATCACATGCAGCAAATGTGAAAAGAAATTTGAAAATAAATCAACTTTACTCAAGCACAAAAAAATTTTCCACGAAGTTTTCAAAAATTACTTATGTGAAATGTGTGCGAAGAGGTTTGATACTAAGCATAGTTTGCTCTTGCACATAAAGACAGTACACGGTAGTCGGAAACATTTTGCATGCAATAAATGCGAGAAGAAATTTGGACGAAAAGGAGCTTTAATTGTGCACCAAAGGACAATACACGAAGGTCGAAAAAATTTCGCATGCAGCGGATGTGAGAAGAAATTTGGATTTAAAACCGATTTGTTTAGGCATCAAAAGATAGTACACGAAGGTTGCAAATATTTCGCATGTGACAAGTGTGTGAAGAAATTTGGGCGTGAATCGCAATTGCTCATCCACCAGAAGACAATACACGAAGGTCGCAAAGATTTCGCATGCGATGGGTGCGACAAGAAATATACACAAAAAAACGATTTGTACAGACACCAAAGGACAGTGCATGAAGGTCGCAGAGATTTCACATGTAACATATGCGAGAAGAAATTTGTACAAAAATCGAATTTGCTGGTACACCAAAAGATAGTACACGAAAGGAATAAAGCTTACACGTGCGACAAGTGCGAAAAGAAATTCGGATACAAAAAGACTTTGCATTTGCACCAAAGGACCGTCCACGAGGGTCACAAGGATTACGCATGCAACAATTGCGAGAAGAAATTTGGGGATTTAGGAAATTTGAAAAGACATAAAAATACAGTCCATAAAGGTCGCAAAGATTTTGAATGCGATAAGTGTGCGAAAAAATTTGGACATAAACAAATAATGCTTAGACATCAAAGAACTCTTCACGAAGGTCGTAGAGATTTTGAATGCAACAAGTGCCAGAAGAAATTCGGAACTAATTGTGATATGTTAAAGCACCAAAGGATTGTACACGATGGTCGCAAAGATTATGAATGTGACAAGTGCACAAGTAAATTTGGACATAAGCACAATTTGCTAGTACACCAAAAGACGGTACACGAAGGTCGTAAAGATTACCCGTGCGACAAGTGCGAGATGAAATTTGGACAAAAATCAGATTTGCTTTTACACCAAAAGACAGTACATGAAGGTCGCAAAGATTTCGCATGCGACAAATGTGAGAAAAAATTTGGACGGAAACAGCATTTACTAAACCACCATAAGACAGTACACGAGGGTCAAAAAGATTACAAATGCGACAATTGCGAGAAGACATATGGAACAAAATCGTATTTGCTCTTTCACCAAAGGATAGTACACGAAGGTCGGAAAGATTACGCATGCGACAAGTGCGAAAAAAAATTTAGAATAAAAAGTCAAATGCTTGCCCACCAAAAGAAACTCCACGAATAACATCCAGTGGCCAACTCCAAGTAAATTTGAATAACTTCGTTTTTCTTCCAGGCATTAATTCATTTTGCTCCGTTTGTAACCAAAAAAATTTTTCTATAGTCGACATTTCTCTTTGTAAGAAAATTCTAGCTGTAAATTCGATTGTCGCTCTTGGCTATC